TGATCCAGTCTCGTGTCGTGAGAGTTATAAAGTCGATATAATGACACCTATTAACATTTGCACACAATGCGATATCGCGCCGAGAATAACATCCTGCACGCGGCACTCAAGGCTGAAGAAGAGCGCGCAACAAATCACTCACCGACTTGCAATCACGATTCACGCCGCCGCGGAGCGCAAGCAGGTTTCAACGTGAAAAAAAATTGCCGCGAAATGTGAATGAGGAGGACACAAAGGGGGAGAGTCGAGTAGTGCACTTTGTGTGTAGATAATTGTATGTAACTAAAGCGAAAACAGGGGGAAGTTAAATATTAGGGTGCGAAACGTGCAAACTATCTTCCATATAGGTACACACGTGGCGTTCCACGTTCCACCTACGTTCACATTGTGGGAACGAATAATTTTTGCTCCAAACTGACCTAGATTCACACGCATGTTACCCTCGAGTCAAAACGTAAGTATTTTTATTTTTCCTGCTGTGAATATTTTGAAATAAAGAGAAAAATGTGTAGAAAACCAATCAGAAGAAAATACTCAACTCTGACGTCATTTCCCCCACCAGAATTTAAACCTATATAAGCAAAAATAGCAAAAATTGAAAATTTTCAAAAAAAAAAAATTTAATTTTTTTTGCTAAAAATTCAACAATTTCATCAAAAATAGTCCAAAAACAATAAATTAATCAATTTAACAATTTCCGGTGAAATTTTTTCTTTTAATATATGAGCAGACCTCCCATAAGCACTTAATTAAATTCGGCGTAATGAAGCCATTCGGCAATTCCGCTTGTACCTTGCCCATATCGGGTAATACCACCATAATGGACATAAAACTTTATTATATTTGCATGTACACAGTCCCCTGCGCACTCAGGACCACCAAAAGCGACTTAAATTATTAATATCTTAATTGTTACAGCAGCCTAAAGCAAAAAAATCAAGGTACCCACCAACCACTGCCATTTTTGCACGAAAAACATACTCAAGGTGGTCTTGGAGACCTCCCAAAAAAGTACGCAATAAAATTTAATGTTTTAATTAGTATTTACTCCATACCTCCCCGAAATGAAAGCAACTTACCGCCCAGAATTATAAAATTTCAATTTTTGTAAATGTTGTACATTTTGCGCACGTGCGCACCGATTGAAAACCGATTGAAACCAGTTTGTGCGATTTGTTCCGCAATTCTTGTGCAACACACGCAGTCGTTGAAGAGGAAATATACGATCGGTAGCCACAAGCGCAAACACAAGCCATATTTATATTTATATTTATCGGAGATGTTGGTGCTTGGCAAAAACCAGAAGTTAACGTTTGCATACTGCTGCAATATTGCCCACAATAGCGCGCCTCATTGAATATTTCCCAGTTGGATACACAACATAACCTCACATGAGCGTCCAACCTACGTTATTTTACATTCAATACCCATACGCCGGTGTATTTGTTGTGTTAGCGTGGTTTTTTACGATCGCCATGGTGTTTTGAGTTTTCTAATCGTTGAATGGACAATAAGCCGCAAACGCAAAGTCCGCAATATAAAATAGCCGAGTAAGTGAATGCGAATGCAAATGCGGTAGCCAATGAATGCGGTTGTAAACTAGGCATGGTAAAACGCACCGATATGCATATAATATCATACGCCTTAAACCAACATAAACTCAATTTCCAACGACCATCTTTGGCGATTTATTAATTTTATTTTATCGCGAGATTAAATGGGAAATGGAGAAAAAAAAACGAGTGAATGAAATTGGATGGTGAATCGTGCGAGTATTAATGCATCAATTAAAGTTGCTTGAAGTTCAATCGGCGCAATCGTTGGCAATATTACCACCAATGGAGTAATGATTGCAATGATGGCAATGACGCAATGGCGCGCGCGATTAAAACAACCGGAACGATTTGCTGCGCGCTGGCATGACTCGTGCCGCCGAGCTGGAGTGCTAATTGACTTTGCACTTATCTTGCATAATCAATTCTATCTGCAGCTGCACTATTGCGGATTCAATTTATGTATTTATCTAGTCGTAGAGTTGGGAATAAAATTTTCTAGGTAGTAAAATGGATAGAAAGTAATGCTTGATGTGAAATACCGGTATTAATACCGGTATACCGGTATTTTTCTTTTAAATATCAATATTTATCAACTTTCAATATTCCTGAATAATTTCTTTAATTTTGTAATAAATACCGGTATTACCGGTATACCGATATTTTTATATACAAAAAAATACCGGTATTGAACCAAAAATTCACATTCCAACAACAAAAAACCCAATTTTCTGAAATTTCTAGTGATAATCAACAAAAAACCCAATTTTCTCAAATTTCTAGTAATAATCAACATAAAAATACGATTTCCCAAAAATATTTCCTTTCCCTCTGATTATTCACAAAATATAAACAATAAACTATGACGTCATCGTAGGCGGCGCATGATATCACAAAACCTAATCCTAATATTTATGAAACTTGTTGAAGATGCGTGAGAACTGATCTAGTCACAGCCACAAGTCGCTGCTCATTTCTTTACATTATAATCTGCGTAAAAATTTATTGTAAATAGATAAACAATATATCGCTTGTCGCGTGTTTATTATTCAGCGTGAATGTCAACACGTACGTCGGCGGCGTCGGTCGATGGCTAGAAATGTGTTGTACACGTTGCGTATACGCTCGTTACTCGTTACGGCACTCGACGGGAATTTCTCGTGTGACTCCCGACTTCCACTCATTACCAGCGCACTCGATGACGCTCATTACTTAATGAACTTTTCTCTCAGGAGCCGCGGCGGCCACTAAATGGTTAAGCATGTGTGTTATTGTAGTAAAAATTAAAATTTAAAACATAAATAGTAAAATTAGTATTTTAAGTATCAAGTGTGCTAAATGGCACTTTAACCACGTTTAGCTTACGATATTTTTTTCTATTTTCACTTTATTTCCACGTTTAGTTTTTGTATTTGAATATTTCATATAGTATTGTACTACATCGTAGGTAAATGCGCATGCGTCAGCGTCACCCCGTGACTAAAGTACTTTATTCACGACTTTAGTCACGGCTTTGGCCGTCCTTGCTTAAATTACCACTTTTCGTGTCTCAAAACCATGCAAAAAGTGCCGCTTTAAAGGTGGAAGTAAAAAATCTCTTATTCACGATTTGTATTTCTCCCGTATTTCGATGGTTTTCGAAGATAGTGTCTTTGTATTCGCGTTTGCGCAATTTTACGAGCAACTGCGCAATGTAAAATTAATACGTTTCGCTTTTTCGTGCACACGACGCGTCGATTTACCTGTGTGCACTTTCCAAACCGTGAGCGGCGCTAATTTAATATCACTTTCTTACCAAACACACAAAATAAAAACAATCAGTTAAATCCTTATCCAACAAAAACAAAACAAAACAAATGCAATTTTATTTTGATTTGTAAATAAACATTGCAACATAGTAAATTTCGTATGATGTGACCTGCGGAGGAGTTTCCCGCGCGTTCGAAGGTGAAGGCCGGCGGCGCACCAGGTCATGAGAAGCTGACCGCCAAGCCCTCCCGCCACGATTGGGAACCCAATCGACAAACACCTGTTTTTAGGTTAACTTACACCAAACTTAACCTTAATATCAATTTAATTGCCCTAGCTAAAGATAATTATTATTATTAAACCTCAAACACTCTGTATATTGAGTATTGGGTAATGAGGGCGGAACAAGCGGTACTTTTTCAACACTCATCACAAGAGTAAAGAAGTTAAGTGACGCCGTGATATATATCGGATATAATTGATTTCGTTTAAGGGCGACAAGTGAATTCATTACGCATTTAGTTCTTTGTTTTCGCCGACAAAAAAAAAGAAATTTTTGATATTTCCTGTCCTGTTCAATGACGTTGTTTTACATCTGTTAATTCAATGTATGTATCAAATAAACATGTGACTTGTGACTTGTGACGGAAATTCCCAAGAAGGAAATAGAAAAAGAGTTGTGTTTAATTACGACTATTCGCCATTTTGTTTTTTTTTGTGTGTGTTTTCTACTCATGACTAAAGTAGGCAACTTAAGTCAGTTAAGGGTGCGTCTGATGTGTAACGAGCACATGAAACGATGTCCTTTTGTTCATGTGCGTGCGCTTTTTTCGTTGTTTGCAATAAATCCACTGTTTGGTATTCACCGCTGCGCTGCACGTCGGCGCGCCGCGCTGAGTTAACTAAGAAAGTGCGTTTTAGGGCATGCGTCGTCGACTTAAACAAAAGCCGCGCGCGCGCTTTTTCTTCAAACCTGCACGAGCCATATACGTTTCACGCATATTTAATCTTATTCAACACAATAAAAACGAACAACTATTATTTTTAGCGCCTGAAATTACCAAAGAATTTCATAATTACAACATTACCATATTCAAAAACACAAAAATTCAAATTTTTGAGGCAATTATTGACACGCAACCGAAAAATTCCGATTCCAGCTAAGCGACTAATACGAATTCCGCGAATGGCGAATGATATCGAAGATCGAACACACTAAATGCACACATGATGCAGATCCTCGGCGCCCGACTACTTATAAACCCATTACGTGTGTCTACTGACTGACATTCTGACCGCAGAAAAATAAGCTGCGGTTGGCTTCGATCGCCAATGAAGATGATTAATAAAACGCAATCGAATACAATACAATCAACAATATTCAGCATATTGCACAGTCAACATGTGTTCGATCAATAAAATTCATCCAGATGACCAGATGGTTCATAAATTGATAAATTTTAATTTGTTGAATAAACTCAATATGAATATTGAAAAATAAAAATTCACTTAAGATTATTATGATAAATGAAAAATTTCTGTGATTACACAAGTGCATTTGTTTGTTTTGGTGCAAAATTAAAACACTTGTTGCATAGCGCATAGTCTACTCGTGGTATGGGTACTTCCCCCACTTTTATCCGTTGTCCCGCGCGTAGCGAGCTTTCAAAACCCAAGCATACGAAGCTTCGTCAGTAGCGTTGTGCCTTTCACACGAGTCTGTTCGTGTATGCTCGTTGTGAACGACGACTCACTGCGTTGCGCGCGTTACGCAACTTTTACTTTACGCGCTGCAGTTCCGCGAATTAAGTTGCCTTAACGCAATAAACTCAAAGTGTGGATATTAGTGGGTTTAAATTAGTGTTACGGATTAAATATGGTGTAGATGTTGTGAGAAGTTTATGTAAACATGCTGGCCGCAGGTTTTGGGGGCGGCGCACGCCGCCTCTTGGATTATTTCTACTTCCCGCAATATCTATTAATCATCGCTTGTATGTTTGCGGTGGTTTCCGGGACGATTATGGGCGATGAATGCGATTGGACTGGAAGGTAAAAAATTATGTTTCTTTATGTTGATTTAAAAAAACTTTCTCACGATGTAAGTGAGATTTTGCAAATGTGCGGCGCACATGTGTCGCAAAAAAATTATGATGACATTGGCGAAATTTCTTAAATATGTTCCCACAGTTAAAAATAATAAATAAGAAGAAAAATACGCGCGTAATTAGAGTGAGTTGCGCACTGCGCATGCGAAATGCACTTAGTTATAACGCATAAGTCATCTTATACAAGTTTTACTTAACTTTGCGTTGCGAGGAGTTGCGAAGAAGGAAGAGAAGGAAAACACACGTTCGCCATGCAATGCAATCAAGTCGAAAGATATAGAATATGCTAGGAAACTGGAGTGCGGTTTAAGAATGCGTCCCTTTTGGCGCACGAGCCGATGGCGACGACTGCGCGCGCGCCGTTAAATTCCGAATGACATGTAAATTATCTATTCCTGAAAACCGGTCCACAACACACGCCTAACTGGATGTTGCATTAAATGCATAAAATCTCCAACTGCACTGCGCATGCGCACAACAACAAAAAATATATTATCGATCCAAGAGAAAAAAATTTACAACTTACAGTGGCTCTGATGATTTGTTCGGCATTTGTTGTTGGTGCTCTGGCACGCTATTGAGCGCCTTTTTGTCGCAAGACACATAAAACTGAAGCGCAGCGCACAGTTTCAACTCGACTTGACTTAAGTCACTTGGCACTCTTTGGCTTAAGTTACTCGCTGGAAGCCCGAGAACAGGAACATGTAAATTTTGTCCTTTTATGGCGAACAATGGAGCTCTTTCACGGGCACAATCGAAAACTTGCCGAGAGAGGCAAAAAAATATATAAACTTAACTTAAGTATATAAATATAACAAAAAAAAATTAAAATCTACATTATGCGTGGGTGAATCGAAAATATCAGAATTCATCAGAACCAGAGCAAATGATAAAATATAAAATATGACTTAAGTATGATTTGAGGTGACTTAAGTTGTGACTTAAGTCGAAATTTAAAGGTGTATCATTAGCAACACCATTCTTATGATAATATACCACCCGCGAGGATGCATCGAAATGTTTTCATTGTGAATTGTGTTAAAAACCCTTCTGCAAAACTTGCAAAGTCACCATGGTGATGATGATGGACGAAGATGGAAGGTTGATACACATACACACCTAAGATGACTTTGGAGTAGCCGTGTGGCTAATGCGTTTTCCACTTGCATTCCTCCATATAGCTACTGCAATAAACTCAACATCATATAATACGTACTAAAACCCCATACAGGGTGTTGTCTGCTTCAAATTAAATTTCCACGCCATTGTGTGGCGCGCGGCTTTATCGCGCGCCATAAAACCAATAACGAAATTTATCGCTTTTATCGTTGATTTTTACAGTGGGCGCGAGATACACATTGTTTTCCTTTGCTGTTGTGGCTTATGTGGATGCGATTCAATACAAAAAAAAACAGCTTTTATTCGAAACGTAACAATATGTAAAGCCGTGCTCGCGGTCAACCAGAATATGAGCATAATCTACATCCACCTACCTGCGGAATGACCGCTTTCCAGCGCTGTTGTGTTCGTGTTGCGCGCGCGCTGTGGGGACATTTAGATTAATGATTTATCTCAACGCGCGCGCGCGAGCGACTCACGCTGCGCGCCTACGGGTCCTTTGCATACTCATACACATGCGCAGGCGCATATATTCAACTTATTGTTATGTTCGCTTCATGCGCGACCTCAAACTTGTTTGATTAAAACAAAACCCAAGCATGAAAGACGATAGGTTAATCTAGTTTCGAGATGATTATGAGCTTAATTTGGCCGCAATCTAAATATTCAAATTTTTTTTTGTTACATGGTGAGATGAGAGGCTTTTGTGTATGCGAACAGGTTTCGGCGGCCCCCGTGGGGGTTGTCTCGCCGCCATTGTTCGTGTGCGCGTGTAATTTAATGCCTGCGCGCGCGTTTCGGGACCCAGCCACCCGTTGATTGCGGGACGCGCTCGCTTTAATCGAAACAATCGACCTACACGACGATGATGATGCTCGTAGGCAGGCGGCTGTACACATGGTACACTTTTATGAGCTAATCAAGACGCGAGAATACCAGAAATTATTATCTCCTCCGGGGATGCGAGGGAACTCAACATGCGATATTAATCATACGAACAATCAGAGAATAAGTTTTATTACTAAATAATTATTTATTGTTTGTTATGAGATCACTATTTTTTTTTTTAACGCGCAGGCGCGGCGTACTTACTACTTTTGAGGGAGTGTGGGTTTCAATCAGTTGAAATGACTTAAGGTGTGACAAGTTTACTTGGATTTATGATTTTAAGTGTACTTAAGTGTGGTTATACTTCCGTTGCAGACAAGTATTGACAGTATTAATATTCTAAAGGTGTTTTTAGTCGAAGGTGCATTGTTGACTTCCGTTTATCTTTTTTTTTTTCTAAAATTTGTAAAAAAAAATTCCATCACGTTTATTTCGCATCCGTTTTCATTTAAAATTTCAAAATTTTCCATTTTATACTTAAGTAAATGAGTTTTTCTTATTTTTTCTTAAATTTACGTTGTTTTTTTTAACTTTTTTTTGCAAAAATTTTCCCAAAAAATGTGTCAATCATTTTTCACCATTTCTCCTTTAAAATTACAAAATTTCTTACTTAAAACTTAAGTAAAACGTTTTTATAATTTTTATTCATTGAACTTTTTTTATTTTTACCAAAATTTGTCCAAAAACCTCATTTGCAATGAATTTGCATCCGTTTTCTCTTTAACCATATCAAAATGCAATTTTATAAAGACATAACTGTAGTTTAACGAGACCGTAATGACGTAAATTTTAACACACGTCGCGTCCGAATAAATTGTGCATTTTAATCATCCCCAAGGCGCCCAAACTTCAATAACAAGACGCCGTTGCAAAACTGCATTTTTATATCCGCCAATAAATAATAATTATATTTAACTCAACTTAAGTAACCCGACCAACTTGCCTTTAACCATCTATGGTTAGCTTAAGTCCTTAAGTTACCTTAAGTCACTCGTGGACTTGATACGCCGAACGCACGTCGATCGGAAATCAATTTGTTCGATTTTTTGCTCGTTAACCCGAACCCCGGCCGAAAAAGAAAACGCATGCGCGTGTGTAAGTAAAGTGTGTCGTATATGGTCGGCGGACGTCGGTAGCCACAATCTGTCACGTACCAGCCCGCACCGAACTTGGGCATGAAGAAGTCGCCCCGTGCGCGCGCATGTATGACTTTCGTATAAGACTATAGGAGATCAAACGACGCCGCCGGTGCATTCTTCTGCAACTTTGTGCGCATTTCACCGCCACGTCTGAAAATTTCTCGTTGTGTTAAATTTATAAATATCAATCATTAAATTCATTAAATTTTCACTGCTAATCAAAACATTTAACAAACAAAATATTAAAATCATAAAAATGTGCTGCGCATGTGTGTTTTTGGCGCGCAATTTAAACCAGCTCAAATTTCATGCTGTCTGGTCGAAAATTCCTTCCTGAGCGGAGAAGAAACTGGAGCTGTGTAACGTTTACATCGTCCCCCAAGTGACTTAACAGCCGAGGAAAGCAAAAACCGCCTGCAGATTTAAAAGTTAATTTTAATTTTCCGCCGTGTTGCGTCGGACGACAATAAAAATTACAAAGATAACACCACAGATATAACCTGTATTTTTGCATCTCTTCTCTTCTCTCGCACTTGGTTGTGGTGCTAATCGTAGGCGCATTTAGTTTTCGAGCGCCCGAAGGCATACGAAATAATCGTCGACGTCGAGCGCACGAGTCGTCATACTTTCAAGCGTGTTCCGAGAGTATAGTAAGTACGCCGCGCCTGCGCACTGCACTACGAATCATAAAAACCCCATGCGTCCGTTACAACTAGTTTATAGGAGTGCAGCGACGCGGCGCGTGTATAATAACTTAGATATTTACACTACATCAACAAATACTATGGTTTTAAGTCAATATTACTTATTACTTAGGGAAATGATAAAATGTATTATCAAAAAATAAATACGAGAAACCCGGCAGACTCGACAGTAAGATAGGAATGTGTGTAGACCCTAATAAATCATCAAAAAGTGTTTTTTTTTTTGGAACACGGATACGGAATAAATACGAAAAACTCAAAAATTGTGTGTGCGGCACATGTTTACGTTTGCCTAGGTCCCTTTTTGTGTGCCCTTCGTTTCGGCACACACTTATCTCTTAACCACACACGTCCCATCCGAGTGTGCATTGCGCAGGTTGAAGAGCGGAAAGTGTGGCGATGTTTGAACATTTCAACGATTTCAAAGTTCCAGTCACGTTTGTTTGGTTTGTCACGTTCGTGTGCGCGTCGGCGGTAAGAGATACGAAGTGACTTTAGTTAGCAAAAGTTACCTCCGAAACAAAACATAAGATAGGTTGAAGAAACAGAGAAAGTTGGGTTATTATATGTGTGTGAGAAGGTTTTTTCTGCGATTTATAACTGCGCACCCTGTAATTTTGTGTATGCGCCGCCCTCACGAGAAGAGAAGTGCAATAAGCGCCGTTATTTTCACGTGGTAATGAATACAACCCTTGAGGCTATTCACAAAGTTAACCTCTACCTCAATAATCAACCTGTGCGAAGTTAAAGTTAAGATTTATAGGTTAGGTTAGGTTATGTAAAAGAATTAAACGTAAAAAACGTAATAAAATTAAAGAAAAAATTAGTTGATGATTGTCATTCAGTATGTAATGTAGTTTTGAAAGAAAGGCGGAACTGATGCGATGCAAGTAAAACTAAAGAAAACTAAAGAACCAGATAGAAATGCTTCGTGTGCAAAAAGTGATGGAGCGTGCGGGCACGCCACGCGCGAGATCCAGTTCGTGCCATTACTATTATTATGCGCAATTTGCTATCAACTATAATGCTATAACGACACCAGGCGCGCGATTGTGTGCGGGTTAGGTTATAGATATGGCCGCGCGATGCGGAGCGGAACCAATACAGATGGCGACACTATGAATAATACAACCTACTCTCTACAATACGGCAACTATAGAATAATAGTGTGTGGTGAGTTTGTGAGTGTTGTTGAAATGCGATGGCCGTGAACGGGATATTTTTTCAATCTGGTGCGTGGGCAGTGCGCAACAACCGACCACAGCCTACACACTACACATTACACACTGGTTTCGGCCGGCGCGCGTGCACGTGTGCGTTGTGTTATATTATAGCCCACGGTGTGTCTACTTCTATATGCGCGTACACACTGCATATAAACGCGTGGATGTGTGGGGTGTTGCTTTCGACTAAACCAGATCGACATCGATATAAATTGCTCTCGGTTCGGTTGGTTTTTTGTTATGCATTTATATTATGCATTTATGTTTTTTTGCTTAGAGCACAGCGCGTAAAAATGAAATAAAATGAGTTTTAAGATGAAATTTGTACAATTTGCTGAGTTTATATTAATTTTTTCGTTGTAGAGTTATAGTTGCTCTGTAACGACGAAAAATATTTTTATTTCTAGCAATTATGAGCTAGAATATTTTTTAAAGACATGACATCGATGGTAAATATTTGAAATATTGTTGTAATTATGATCCCAACATCCCTACAAATTGCAATGCAAATATCTATAACTTAGTTAACGATTTTCAGCTACTGCTGGGGTGCACGTTGCGTTACTAGAAAAATCATTTAAACATAACACAAGTGAATACAACTGAGCACAAAGTGGAATTCATATTTAGACTTCAGGAAATATTTTCTACCGCATTTTTCAAGTAATTGGTTTATAATCAGCAACAAAAAGATTAAACAGGCTGCCAGACCACGTAAAATATCAATATTTTTGGGTATTTTGTTCCTCCTCGATGTAACATATGTAATCCTTAGCAATAAGGTAATTTATAAGTTTAGTGGTTAAAAAGTTGCATAACTTGTTCAGAAATACATAAAAATCCAAGTTTTTGATGAAATAACAATGCATAAACGTTTGAATTTTAACAAAACCTGCACAATATGTACCTTTAATTTGCATGACAACATCTCGCTATAATCTACACTTATACCTTAGTGCAGCATAAAATATTGCTTTACTTGACTAAAAATAACTAATAACTAAGTTTTTTGATGAAATAAATCGTAAAATATGTGAATTTTAACTAAAAACTCAAAAATTATCAAAATTTGCCGGCGTTTGCCTTTCGGATGTGACATAACCTAGCAATAAGGTAATTTATAAGTATAGTAGTGAAAAAATTGCATAACTTGACTAAAAATAAATAAAAACTAAGTTTTTTCAACGAAATAAATCGTAAAATGTGTGAATTTTAACTAAAAACTCATTTTGTAGATGTATAATACATTTTTATATAGTTTATAATCAATGTTGAGTTGATTAGCGTTGATTTACCTCTGACGTCACGAAGGGAACAATTAGTGCGCGCCCGACGGCGATAAAAAGCAATCAACGGCGTCTACGATTCGCGGCCGAGATGACATTCACAGGGTACACAGCAACACAACTGGTTTATGTCCGTAGCTATTTCTTTTCGTAGCGATCGTTTTATTCGATTGTACACGCGCCCGAGAGCATTAAAACAATCAACACAAAACATATAAAATCAGCCGTACCCTGAACACACTACTCAGCGAACGAAACAAAAGCCCGGATCGTAAATTACCAGCGTAATATTTGATCTGATTTTATGTAGGAGGTGTGGACCGCCACAAAACAATAACTGTAAGAACTTAAAACAAAAACAAAACAAAAAACTTAGCAAAACAAAAAAGTTTAAAACTTGACAATCAACAATCATAAACACGTGTGCGGCACTTAAATTTGAAAACTTTACGATTACTTCTCTCTCGCTTGCTGAGAGAGGATATATCTATATTTCTAGAGTGACCACTCGGGCGAGGTTTAATGCATCCGAGATAATGACACATGTTAAAATCTTAAATCTTTAATGGAACCGGCTGCGATTGCGGCCCGACGCAGGATTATCACTTCAAGGCGCGTTTTGTTAATCGAAGAAGGACACAAACGACAAATTGCATTGCATACCATTTATAATACCAGATTATCTTTCGTATGGAGAAAAAGTGTACAATAAATTATTTATGTCCACGCGTGAAATCTGCACTCGAAATTGTAATTTAATGCTTAGGCAGTGAATTAAAAATGTATTCATGCGTGAAATGCAAAAAAATATGTAACCTGAATATGTAGTATTAATGTAATTTATAAATATTTTCAAAGCGTTGTAATTCCACGAACGCTAAACTTAATCAGCTTTATAAACTCAACTATAAACATGACTATCGACAAATAGCGCTGTGAGCGCATAAAAAGTAATTTAATTCCTCGTCAACGCATGAAAAATCTCCGGTTGCACGCCCGAAAAACAAAAAACTAATTAAATTCAAAACATTGAGTCATCAACTCGTAAAAAGTGAATTTTTTCGTTTTAAGTGATGAAATTCAAAGATGGCGTCTTGTTTTGCTATGCAACCAGTTATACACATTCCAATAGTGCTATGCAACCAGTTCTACGCGTTACAGTTTCCTGTTTTGTCTGCTCTGCAGTAAATGGCAAATATTAATCATGATTTTTAATTTTCTGCCGATTACATCTTTAAATCGAAATTATACACGCACTCTATACATGCACTTTGTGTTCTTGATCGACACGAGACGAGAAAGTGACTCCGATGGCGATCAATCTCGCGCCATGACACCGAGAATGCGTTGTGCAAATAAATTGCCATCGGCCGCTGGTCGCATGCGTTGATAAAGTGGAAAGATATTACGCATATTTTTATGGCTCGTTAAAACCCGCACAAACAAAGAAATAAATCGCAAACAATCGGCGCACACACACACAACTTAAACAAAAAGCACAAGAACGTATCGCTGGTATTATTCTATGTGCAGCACACACAGAGTTCGTGCCGTTGAATGTTTACATCTTTACCACTTTGGATTAATAGCAATAATAGCAATTTGCAAGACATTGACTCATTCATCACGTGGTCCCGGTTCGAAAGCAATTTGTTTCAAACGGTTTATACATTTTATTGTGGTTTTACGCAGAGACCACACGAAGATATTCATAATATAAAAATAAAACCATGCGCTTTTTTTGCTTGCTTTCTGTGTCAAGGGAATTTGTTTCGGCGATAAATCACAAATCACGCTCAGGTTGAAATTAATAACCGCACGATCTTAAATATCACCGCAGCAGTCAACGACATAACCTAGAATATTCTCTGTGTGAGAAGAGAACGAATGAAAATAATCACGTCGCGTTGCTTTCGACCTTATTTCATTGTTATTGTTTACGTAGACCAGAAATCGAGCAAGATGTAAAAGGCATGTCATCAGCCGAAAACAGAAATATTTCGATTTTCGCACTTTTAAAAATGTTTTCGAAATGATTTACAAGTCGTTAAAAACATTTACTTTTATTGTTGTAATGTTGGTTGCCTGTCGTTAACTCTACACCTACCATTTTATGCCCTTTTGTGCTGGTTTCTAATTCGATACGTATGTTTTAATGCTGTGCAAAAAATCATTTTATTATGCGCTCGAAATGCTACACTTCACTTTGTCCGGGTTGTGAAAGATTTGTACATTAGCGCCCGCCTGCAAATCTCGGTTATAACATTATAACATGCGCGCTATTTTACTGCAAGGCGTGGCACGGCTTTTAATCTCTCGAGAGAGACTTAAAAAAGAAGGAAAAACTTTCAACGTGAGATTTTATATGTGTTTATATAAAAGTCCACAGCAATGAACTAATTTTACTTTATTTAATTTTATTGTAAACTTACGTTTTTTGTGTTTTTTTGCAGTGGATTAACAACGATTTCGACAAAAATGGGTCGTGGTGTTACACCGGTTTATCTACGCTGTACAAGCGGGCGGATAAAATGGCTATACCCTCGTGGAGCACTGCGTGTTTTACTACGTTTGCCTGGGCAAGATCGCGAGTTTCGTGCGTGTATCAAAATACACCCTGATGTGGACAAACATGTACCTGCTAGATTATTTCTAGAGGGACCTAGATCACTTCTACCACTTTATTCGAATGATGACGGTGGTAATAAACTTACAAGGTTAGTTTTTGTATTGGTTTATGTAATATAGGCAACACATCCCTACTTCCCTACTAATATTATAAATGCAAAAGTCCTGATGTTTGTGCACTTTCGCAAAAACTGCTTAACCGATCATGTAGAAAGGAACATTTACATATTCTTAGTGGTCCCAGATAGTTTATAGGCTACTTTTTATTTAATAAAGAATAAATTATTTTGAAATAAAGCCAAGGTATTTGTAATAATACCTGCATGCATTGTTTGACTACTTTAGCATACATCTAGCATTCCAGCAATGATGTCAGAGCCTAAGTACTACTATAGTGCCATCACACTGTATTATCACACTGTATTACCGACAGCTACGTCTACATCAAATCCAATTGACTACACTATGGAGACTGTACACTATACTTCCATAGACTATACTTTCAGCCATTTTAAACTTCCCGCCATTCTACTTCATTGTTACGTCTTTTGTGACTACAGACGCGTACGGAAGCAACTTCATTATTTTAGATATTCGCAAGCGAAGCCGCGGGTCAAAGCTAGTTTAACATGTGTGTTTGTGGTTGCAGATGTTTCAACAGTAAGAATAACCAAGTGGCTATCTACGTGGAGACTGTAGATGGCGATGCGGTCGAGAAACGCGTCGCTGAATTCGAATATGATCTGCAACCGTTGCCGCGAGGTTCGAAGGCGTTCGACCCGACCGAAGGTAATTAACACTCAATTATACACGCGGCACGCCTTGAATTGTCGCCATTGTTTCTTATATTCATATACATGTGTGTTTTTAACACTTTTTTTTCTTGTTTTGTTTATCAGAATGCCGACCGTGTACAAGTGACGAATTGGCGCATGCGTTCTGTACAAGTGATTTGGGTAAGTTAACAAATACTCATTAGTTCGGATTTCACACGTGTCCGTTCCGTGTGTCCAATTAACTGACATGTTATTATTCATGAAACAACGCACGCTGAAAAAATTACCGACCGTCCTCGTATTGTGTGCACTTTTGGGTTTGACCCGCCGACGTTCATCTTTGGTCGGCGCTCGTGCGCACCACAAAAAAGTGATTTTGGAAATATTGTTGGTCGTTTTTTGGCCCGCGGTTAGCAGACGTAATAAAATACGAGCGCAATCGTCCAGATATGGTAACGAATTTCGAACTGGAACTCTCTCTAGACTCGTACGTGCCGAGATGAACCGAGAACAAAACTTAAGTCATGCGCGCGCGCGCTTGTCTTATGTCTTTCGAGGTACAAGATGATGATGGCAAGAAAGTGCAGGTTTTATTTCGACGGCAACACGTGAATGATAATCGTGCAGCAGGGAAATAAAAAGAAAATTTTAAAAATGCTAACGAGGCCGGAATTTTGGCTTATTAACCAAATTGGAATTGCGAGAAATTGCATTCAATTGAAATTCACGCGATAAAGATGCAGTGAATTTTGAGTTTAATACCGGTTTATTTGAATGAAAATATCGGTATATATTAATACCGGTATTTTACACATTTATATTTTAAATTTTAAATTTAATATTCGTATTTCAGTAGGTATACCGGTATTTGGGACTTGATACCGGTATTTTTGTAAAAAAAATATCAATATACCGGTATTTAACCGGTTTTTTCAAAACTTTCAAATATCCAATAGAAAAGAATTTAAAAAAATCTAATTTAAACAACATCCATATTTGAAGAAAAATACCGGTTAACCGGTATTAATACCGGTATTTTCATCTGAAATACGCAAGTCTGAACAAGTTTATACATGTTCCCATTATTTTTCTTCACATATAAATATTGACACTATTTGGGTAAGTTAACAAATACTCATTAGTTCGGATTTCACACGTGTCCGTTCCGTGTGTCCAATTAACTGACATGTTATTATTCATGAAACAACGCACGTTGAAAAAATTACCGACCGTCCTCGTGTGTTGTGTGCACTTTTTTGGGTTTGACCCGCCGACGTTCAATTTTCGGGTCGGGCGCTCGTGCGCACCACAAAAAAGTGATTTTGGAATTATTGTTGGTCGTTTTTTGGCCCGCGGTTAGCAGACGTAATAAAATACGAGCGCTTGTTGCGAGGCTCGGATGGCAATCGTCCAGATATGGTAACGAATTTCGAACTGGAACTCTCTCTAGACTCGTACGTGCCGAGATGAACCGAGAACAAAACTTAAGTCATGCGCGCGCGCGCTTGTCTTATGTCTTTCGAGGTACAAGATGATGATGGCAAGAAAGTGCAGGTTTTATTTCGACGGCAACACGTGAATGATAATCGTGCAGCAGGGAAATAAAAAGAAAATTTTAAAAATGCTAACGAGGCCGGAATTTTGGCTTATTAACCAAATTGGAATTGCGAGAAATTGCATTCAATTGAAATTCACGCGATAAAGATGCAGTGAATTTTGAGTTTAATACCGGTTTATTTGAATGAAAATATCGGTATATATTAATACCGGTATTTTACACACATATATATTTTAAATTTTAAATTTAATATTCGTATTTCAGTAGGTATACCGGTATTTGGGACTTGATACCGGTATTTTTTAAAAAAATATCAATATACCGGTATTTAACCGGTTTTTCAAAACTTTTAAATATTAATAGAAAATAATTAAAAAAAACTAATTTAAACAACATCGATATTAGAAGTAAAATACCGGTTAACCGGTATTAATACTGGTATTTTCATCTAAAATACGCAAGTCTGAACAAGTTTATACATGTTCCCATTATTTTTCTTCACAATAAATATTGACACTACATAAACATCGAAAGAATCTTGTTGTTATCAATAAACTGCGTCGCAGTTCACTATCTACTCGTATTAAAGATAAGAATAAGAATAATCTTTCCAATGTTTACCAAACATTCGATTTTTAACGGATTGAATTATTTTTCAATTCAAACTCAACAAGATCAATAAACTAAACTAATCAAATTTTTACATTTTTAATTTCCAGTTACTCGTGGGACAATCCACGGCATAGAAAACGACGAAGACGCGGAAACATCCCAGATGGCAATCAAAATCACCAAACTAATCCGTCACACAACCGAAGACGGCGACGATTTCGACCTGGAAACAAATTCCCTCAACGCGCCAACGATTGACATCGACAATGAAGTTGTCCTCAACGTCGCGCAACGCTGTGGCGTCTCACACGGCGTGGGTGAATTCGTTTTCATGGCGCGGCGTAAACTCGGAGAATTAACTCTGAAATGCGCGCCGCGATTGGAAGATTGGGCTGTGCTCATGCATCAACTCACTGCGGAAGACAAAGCGCATTGTGTGCTGCATAGTTAGCACTAAAAGACGATTTTCAGAAGAAAAAAAAACTTTGATTGAAACTGTGTTATTCGCACCACATTGGCGCGCAATTGTGTATATTTTATAAATACGGAAGTGAGTGAAAGAAGATTTTATATAACTAAGAAGATTTGTATATTACTGTACATTAATTACGTTCACTTATTAATTTTATATCTCGCTTGCTTCATGTACATTTACATTGTACACACTCTAAACTTAAAGTTTTTTTTTGTTTGTTTTTTTATGTATTTGTTTGAATTCAGAGTGCCAAACACAGCGCAGAACTTAATTTTGTCCGCCGCTTGCATTCCGAATGCAACGCAAAATATGCTTGAATCATATGCGCATGCGCGCACGTCTTAATTATATTCCTTTAAATACCTTGGTCGATCTCAGAGCTTCTTAAATGCTGATGTTGCCGGCATAAATAATTTATAAATTGTACATATTTTTGTAGCGGTAGAGCGATGAGGGCGATATGTAATAATGAAGAAATTGTGAATGCCATAAGTCGTAAGATACAGGATTCTGTGATATGTATTATAGATGAATTTTTTATATAATGATTGATTCGACGCAAGAAACGATTGAATCCTCGCGTGATTGACGATTGAATCGGTTTTATTCACTTTCGGTATGCGAATATGTAATTTTGTTTTATTGTGAATGATTAAAAGATTATATATTAATAACTCACCGGAAAATTGTTTTTCTTCAACTCATCCCTCGGCTGCTGTTGCTGGACACGGTTTGGAATGCACTTCAAAATGGTGGAAAAAACTGCACGGCGATTGTTTTTTTACGTTGGTGAATGTCACTCGCGAACCGGCACTTTGCGACTGAAAGAATTAGATTGAATTTAACTATTTGTTATGGCCAGCAACATAACAAACAACTGCACTGATAACAAACCAGTTTGTGCGATGCACAAGAAGGTAAGTGACAAGTTAAAAAGTTATGCACGGAATTGAACGAAGTAGTGCATTGCAGCGCCATCTACAGGTTCAACAAGGAGTTATAACTTAATTCTTTTTTTAAATTTTAAATAAATCTAGAATGTAAATAGTTAAATAGTGAATATTAAATGAATTTTAAATAATTTTCATTAAAATAATATTATATTTATCATATTTTACGATAAATTTAATATAATTTTAATAAATTTCAACTTTTAAACTATGCAACCCAATTTTCTGCGCACACGTAACGCGTCTTGCCTATATTCCAATGGTATGTGTACATACTTGTCAAATTCAGGTGACAGTGACACTTGTCAAATCGTCAGTGCCCAAAATTTCTAGCGTAATTGTTCCTCAAAGCCAAAGAAACAACCGTACACCATTCCGAAACATGTAAAATCGCCACCGCGAAGTGCGTACACCTCCACCTCGACGGCTATGTGCACCGGGCGAATTATACGCCTACTAAACGATAATTAACGTGAAATTTCCTCCTGCGCTCGCATACGTGCAGCGTGATAACACTATCAACAAATTCAGCGCACACACGTCGGTGTACGGACGACGAGCGCCCGCCACCGAGCCAACAATATGTTTAGCACAGGACAATCATGACGCCCTCTGATTGCCCAGCCAGAGATTCCAAATTTACCATGTTCACATTGCAATGGTTTGCTCTGCATGTGGTGATTGTGCTTGTGGGAGCATCAGCATGTCTCAGCAAGACGGACACACCGCCAATGAGTCAAGAGGAGAGAATACAATTAAGGTTTGTTGTTGTAAACTTAGTTTATGATTAAATACTTAATGAAAATGAATTTTTAGAGAGGAGGCAAGAGATATGTTCTATCATGCTTATCGAGCATACATGGAGAATGCCTATCCAGCTGATGAACTGATGCCATTGAGTTGTAAGGGTAGATTTCGTGGATTAACACCAAATAGGGGTGATATAGATGATTGCCTAGGAAAGTAAGTGTTTTACGAACTTATTTTCACTTATTTTTATATTGTTTTGACTTTGGTTTAATCAGGGAATTGTAAATATTAATCTACTGAGTGTTTTTTACAGTTTTTCATTAACCTTGATTGATACTCTAGACACGCTGGTGATTCTCGGCGACTTCGAGGAGTTTGAACATGCAATAAAACTTGTGATAAACGATGTTTCATTCGACAGTGATATTATTGTCTCGGTTTTCGAGACAAATATCCGTGTATTAGGGTAAGTTCAAAGATTAATCATATTTTAAGTATCAAGTGTGCTAAAAGTCGCTTTAACCACGTTTAAGGATGTGTTGCTTACGTTTTTTTCTACTTATACTTTATTTCCACGTTTTGTTTTTATATTTGAACTTCTGATTTTTAAACTTCGAACTTTATTGTCACACTACGCGTAGACGCAAGCCTAGACCCGTGACTAAAGTACTTTATCACGTCCTTAGCCATTATGTGTCTTGAAACCGTGAAAAAAGTAGCTTTTTGGCAGTGGAAGTAGAAAAAAATGAATTTTACAACATTTCTTTCATGTTTTAAAAAGATTTTGACAAAAAATGCCTGATTTTTACTTTGCGCATCTTTAAAGTCAAATTTTAGTTAAAACTTTGACTAATTTTAACTAATAACTTGATTCTTTCCACTAGTGGACTCTTATCAAGCCATGTCCTCGCTGAATACATCAAGCAACAGACTGACTACGTCCAATGGTACAAAGGCGAACTCCTGGACATGGCCAAAGACATCGGCTACCGCCTCCTGCCAGCGTTCAACACCACCACCGGCATCCCGCACTCGCGCGTCAACTTAAAATACGGCATCAAGAGCAACCGCCTGGACACAGCGAAAGAAACATGCACTGCCTGCGCCGGTTCCATCATTCTAGAAATGGCCGCCTTAAGCCGACTCACCGGCGAGCCAATCTTTGAACAGAAAGCGCACCGCGCCATGGATGAACTATGGAAGATGCGCCATCGTAGTTCCGATCTCATGGGCACTGTTCTAAACGTGCACAGCGGTGATTGGGTACGACGTGATTCCGGCGTCGGCGCCGGCATTGATTCCTATTACGAGTACTGCCTGAAAGCGTACATTCTACTCGGCGATGATCGATATCTGAATCGATTTAATCGACATTACAGCGCGGTTATGAAATACATCTCACAAGGACCGATGTTGTTGGATGTACTCATGCATCGACCGCATACAAATTCAAGGAATTATATGGATGCGTTGTTAGCGTTCTGGCCGGGGTTGCAAGTGCTCAAAGGTGATCTTAAACCCGCGGTGGAGACGCATGAGATGTTATATCAGGTTATGCAACGGCATAAATTCATTCCCGAAGCGTTCACGACGGACTTCCAAGTGCATTGGGGTAATCACCCACTACGACCGGAGTTTTTAGAAAGTACTTACTTTTTATACGGCGCGACGAATGATCCGTACTATCTGGAAGTTGGTAAGACTGTTTTGAAAACTCTGCAGAAGTACGCGCGTGTGCCGTGCGGTTATGCAGCCGTGAATGACGTGCGCACTGGAAAGAAAGAAGACCGTATGGATTCATTCGTACTCTCTGAGACATTAAAGTATTTATACTTACTTTTCGCGGATCGTGATGATTTGCTTCTGAATATGGACGAGTTTATTTTTACGACAGAAGGACACTTATTACCGCTGTCATTGGCGAGTATAGGCAACTATTCGCACTCGATTGAAGAGTTGGATCAGTATGAGCATGCGCGTACATGTCCGAATACTCTGCAGTTGTTTCCGGAGTCGGTGCGCAAGCCACTGCGCAACATGGTGGATGGCATGTGTCCTCGTCGGGTTGGTAAGCGCCGCCTCACGGCGAACGACTTCTCCTCAGCCAATGTAAACCATCTGAAAATCATCAAAGAGATGGGGATTAATATCATCGCGTTGAATGATGGCCGCGTACAATTAGTTCATACTTTCGCCGCGGCGAGATCTTCTGCTGATGCAGAGGAGGGTTTATTATTCATGCAGGAAATGGTGGAGTTGTCGAAAATACAATCACAGCAACCGGATGCGTCACCGCAGGCGGTTTCATTCGATGCTATGCAACCGGATGGAGAAGTAAAGCGGATTACTCTTGCTGCAGGCCCCTCCCACTTTGGTACTAACCTCAAAGATGATAAAAAGTATCCGCGCCCCACGATTATCGTACATCCATCACGTGGGTGTGGAGAAATGCCGCAAGGCGAAGATATAAAAGGAAAAATCGCCATTATGGAGCGTGGTGATTGTATGTTTGTAGAAAAATCACGCCGCGTTCAACGTTTGGGTGCTGTAGGCGCAATTATCAGTGATAACACTCCTGGCAGCGCAGATTCATCTCCGATGTTTCCATGTCCGGTGATGGTACTGATGATGTTCACATTCCCACGGTGTTTCTGTTCGCGCAGGAAGCTTCTAAACTTCTGCTTACACTGTCAAAACAACCTAACCTTGAAGTGACCATTGCCGAGTTGAAGACAGGCACGGAAACATGGCCGCCGAGTAAAGAGGAGTCCATGTTTCAGAAACTGAAGATATCCGTCCAGGAGTTCCTCAATAAACACACCGGCATTGATTTCACGGAAGAAGTAAGAGTTGGTTCGTTCCCGTTACGTTGTCGCCGCTCGTGGATTAAATCGTCACGAAAATGCAGGCGGTGTTATTTGGGAGGGTTTTGATATATGAATGGACTCACATTCGGAAAGATTTCCTCAAGAAGATCATGGAGTCGGAGAACCGCGAGTTATACGTGCCACGTACCATTGTTGATATCTATTATCTCTCACTGGGCGAGGTGATATATGCAAATGATAAGCCGGTGAAAGCTGATATAAAGACACAGACGGAATGGTTATTGCAACAATTGAATATTGAGTTTTACCGTAAGGATGATGATATACTGGTTGCGGATGACAAGGCGCAGCGGAGTGTGAAGTTGCATACGAGTGATTTGGATGAAATCCGCCGGCAGTATAATACGATACTGCAAGAGGCGGTGGATGAATTAATTGCGGGTAAAAAGGATCATAGTGATGACTTGGTGGTTAGCGATGAGCGCAGCGCTGACAGTGTGAAGGTTATTATTACTAAGCAGCAGTTAGAGTCCGCTGAGACAAACGAAAGGACAGAGTTAGATTTTTCGGATAGGAATTATTTGTTATCCATGAAATCCCCTTGCTTTCCTTCCACTTCATTTGTTTAAGATCAGTTATGAACCGATTTCTCTCCTCCTTTCCTATGATTATAGTTTATATTACGTAACGTGATGCTTGATGATTTTTATTGCTCCGGTTACTAAACTTGTTATAAACTATTATCGTCGGGGCGTTTATACATACTATAAGCGAATGTAAAATGTTGAGATATTTTTGTATAAGTCACGAACTACTGTTAGATGGCATTCGTTTTATTTCTTGCGTAAATTGAAGCCTCTATATAGCATTGATCTCAAACAGGAACAAAAATGATCCATTTTGAGTTTTACGGATAATTTTGAGTTCATCTTTGTAAACTAGTTTGCCAAACTCGAATTATTTTAGTTAAAATGCCAGGTAAAATGGCTGCAAAGTCTAAATATGAATTCCGCGTCGCTCAGTTTGTATTACTTACGTATTTATGTTTAAATGATTTTCTAGTAACGCAGCATTACCCCAACAAATTAGCTGCGAAAAATCGTGCTTAAGTTATGAGAAATTTGCATTTTGCAATTTGTAGGGATATTTGGGATCATAATTACAGCAATATTCAAAATGTTACCATCGATGTCATGTCTTTAAAAAATATTCTAGCTCATAATTGCTGGAAATGAAAATATTTTTCGTCGTTACACAGATAAATTCTAACGCTATAACGATAAATTTACTATAAACCAACCAAATTATACGCGTTTCGTCGTTATATAGAGGCTATATTGTATTTAAAAGTAGCATTACCTTATTTTTTCGTTTTTGAATACTCCCCCACTGGCAGCAGAAATCGAAAACGTCATTGTCATCATCGTAACCTGGTTAGAATCGGCCGTCGTCTCACCTAACCTAAAAATTACAAATTAAAAATTAGATTTTCAAGACATTTCGTAATAACAAAGGCAAATTTTGAGTGAAAAAGCATAATACTCACATAGGGCGACATAATGAACAGTATTGGCGCTGATTGCACGGAATTAAAGAAGCAGTATGATGCTTGTTTCAATACATGGTTCTCTGAACACTTTCTCAAAGGCTCCACAGATGATAAAATGTGTGCACCATTGCTGAAAGTCTACCAGGAGTGTGTACAAGTAAGTTATTTACTTGCAAATCATATAAATCGATTAGTTTGTTAAAAAACCACATATTTAAGGACATTTACACAAACTACTTCCATAATTCTGCATTTAGTTTTAAAATAATTACAAAATTACACAAATATATGAAAAATTTTGTAAAAAAGAAGTTAAAACTAGATGCAGAATAATTATTATATTCTACTGACACATACAGGGTGTTATCTTTCCAGAGAGCAATGAAAACCCACAACATTGACCTCAAAGAAGTGGAAAAAGATCTCCTTGGCACAGAACAAGAAAGGAAACCACCCAACAAGAATCACTCCTAGTCAACACAACCAGTCAACCTGATAAAACGGTACAAATCGCTGCCTCTCAATCACCAAAGTTATTCCACACGCCGCATTTACAATTTTATTATCATGGAAATGAATTATAAAAGGAATAACGATCGTGAGTAGTCTGTAGTGAAAACTTGTTGCATGTGTCGCTGGCCTAAATGGAAAACAGCAGGCAGCTGATACAACTTAAACAATACTTAACAATTACCATCCTAGATGTGTTAAAGCTATTATTAAATAAACTATTTTCCCGACGCGAACGTTGACAGTCCCTCCAGCAGGCCAATGTAGCATGAATGCTCATAGGCCGTGCTGTAGGCGCTTACTTTCTCTACAAACTCATTGCTAACACCCTTCTCCTCCAGGTAGTTCATCAACAGGTCATAGAGGTATGTGTCTACCACCTCGCCGGACACAGCGTAGACATTCTCGTTCCAATCGCCCGAATAGATGCTGATCTCATCGATACCGAAGACATCGTTGTAGTTCTCATCTTGTTCATTGGGTCCAATGAATGAACACAGCAGGCTGACGGTGATATCTCCACGGACGAGGTCCACCTTGAGCGCTGGCTTGGATTTCAGCTCGCCGATGTCGGCTTTGTCCATGTTGGGGTTCACATCTGCTTCGTGATCGGTGTCCACTGTGTGGTTCACATTGAAACGAATCTTGATCCTGAATTAAACATAACCAATAAATTTTTTATATTCATATAAAAATGTTTTTTATGATTAAAAAACTTACTTTTCCTTGTCGGTGGTCTTTGTAAGGGTGACTTCAGCGCCTTTGAGGGTTGCGGTGAAGCCATCCACCTCGGTGGGGATGGTTTTCGCTTTTTGTGCCTTGCGTTCGGCGAGGATCTCCTCCGTGAGGAATTCGACTAGTTCACGTTCGGCTTTGGTGTGCACACCGGCGAGACTACCACAACCGCAGCCGCATAATTCGGTCGTGTTCTTCTGCAGATGAGTGTAGTTATCGCGTGAGTTGCACATGTACCAGAGATTCCTAGCGATTTGCCGGTGTTGTTGTTGGGTGGCGGTCACGCGCTGCACGGCGCATTTCACTGGCTGGAGCAATGAGCGCAGCGTGTTGAATCTGCTCGCCACTTTGAAGATTCCACTCATGTTTGTGATGTTTTTAAGAATTAGAAAATTATAAACTACAAATGCCGGTTGGGTCGGTCTGCGCCGGAAAACGTGATTCGATTGACGCGAGAAAGTGAATTATTTGGTTAGAATCAGTGCTGCCAACATAATTTTTCACTATTTACAAAATTAAAATATTTCAACAAATAATCAATAAAATTGATTCTTTTTACATTAGTATTATGTATACTAAAAGGTATTGTTGTTAAATTTACAGTTTTTGATGTTATTTTAAGTATTAACATCTTGCAGAACAAAATCTAGGGATTTTTTCGCTTAAGTTCTAGAAAATTCTCCCCACTAAATATGACAACATAAAAGCCGCCATGATGAATTCAAAATTTCAATTTAAAACTTATTCAAACAGTTTTGTGAATATAAATTTAGCTGCATTTATTGATGTTTGATAAACTTCACACGTGAAAATACTCAATAAGAAAATAAACATTATGCTACCCTAACTCGGACACCAAAAGTAAATCGTCGCCATGCTTAAATTCAGCGTTAGTGAGAACAAAACAAAAATCATCGCTCGCTTCATTCCTCACGCATAATCCCAAAAAAAAAACATCATCCGCTGCTATCCGTAAATGCTAGATATTAATCTTATTAGTAAATTCATTTCACTCTCTCGTCGCAGTACATGTGTGATTATTATTAATATTTTGATATATAAATAACCTCAGTAGAATATAATTAGCCGCCTAATGCTAATGACCCGTCGTCGTCGTGTCGCACCGTCCCCCTCTGCCCAGCGCCGATACAAAATAATCTTTCTACATTTATAAACAATTCAATTCATTTTTCATCATCATTTTTTTTTCCATAGAGTTAACAAGAAGATCACAATTTTTATTTCATATCGCTTTAATTTAGTCGCGCACGCGCACCACTCACTTCAGCGTGTGTGGTCCAAGAGGGTATATATTGTTTGTGTGTTGTGTGTGTGTTGCTGGTCAGAGAGAAGAGGCGGGCGCCTACGGCAGGTTGTACTTGACGTACGGCACCTCAACGTCATTACCATCGGCATCATTGCAGCACAGCTCGAACACAAGCGCCCGCACGTGCGGCTCCAGCTTCTTCTTGGACACGCGCTTGACCACCTCGGACATGGGCAGCGCGAGACGTTCCTGCGCCTTGGCCTTCGCCATGAAGAACGAGTACAGCATGCAGACACCCTGCGACAACATCGTAATCTCCAAACCGTGTTCATCCTTGAAGTAATCAAGGAACTCTTGAAGGGTCATCTCGCCCTGGATTTCAAAACGATCCCAAAGGGTCCACTCCTTACCGCAGTACTCCAACTTCGGAGCGGCGATTGGTTCCGAGAATCCAAAGAACGGCAGAGCTAAATTAACGAAACCATTCTTAAATGTTTCCATTTTACGTACACCGCGTGCAAGTTTATACAACTCCAGCCCGACAAGACCAGCTACAACGGAAGTAGTGGTAGCAATCGCCGGGATGATTTTCCCAGCGATTAACTTCGACTTGTGGCGATCCGCAGGCGGGATTTGATAGTTTGCAGCGCGTAGATTCGACGTAGCGACGATAAAATCAATATGTAAGTTAGTATCGTCGTCTTTTTCGAATTCCAACGGAGTTAATTTCAGCCCAGCGAGGGTGGATACCTTGGGTAGACTTTCCGCAAGCAGACCCACACGGTCCAAATCACAACCGGAGCCATTCTGCACCGCCATTTGCGAATCGGTGACAGCAATCTTCACACCAGATTTAGGAACAAATTCTGGGACATCTACATTGTTAACCATTTCCAAAATTTGTTCCCTGTCTCTAATTTGTGGGATACCATAAACTTCTGCTTTTAAATTAGCAGCTGTGAAGATGTAATCCATGTGTAGAGTCACATTAGGATCAAATTTCAACGGTGATGGACATCTCTTCGGCCCGCTCCAGAACAACTGCCCGGTTGAAGTGAGTTGATCCGGTGGGAAGTTGAACAACAACTGCTTGATCTGATTACTGTACTGTTCTTCAAAGTGTAGACGCGCCCAGGTGACACAGTCCTGCATGTTCATCGGGCGGTCATCCAGAAGAGCCGCTTTAACTGATTCCAGAATCTCCACGGGTTGTACGCCCGGTAGTTTTAGTGTACGATCGACGAATTCAGGATCAGCAAGGTATAAAGATGCGTTCTCGGCGGATTGTTTGAATAGCCCTTCGAAGGTATCACGCGCCCATTGGAGAGTATGCTCGATGGCATTGGGGAAGTTTTTCAGCGTGCAGATGGGGATGGATTTCTCGGGTGGGTCTTGTGAGGAGCTGTAGGATTCGGTGAGATGGGGGACGACTACCTGTGTGTTGCCTTTGGTGCCGAGCGTGCCTGATTCCAGCAGGGGTTTGCGGTAGTACACGCAGCGACGGTCCATGTAGATACGTGCGTCTACGTTGTCCAAAGCGTTGGCTACGCCGTCAGAGCTTCGAAGAATTCGTCATCGTAGACGCCTTCGGTTTCGGTTCCAACGCGGTTCTCATGGGCGATTATGTTTATTGATGGGTTCATCGATTTTATAACCTTTAAATTATTAAAATTAGAAATTAAGTTAGGTTTTATGGTGTATTAAGTATCTAGTGAGCTAAACGGTACTTTAACAATGTTACCCCGTGACTAAAGTACTTTAGGCATGGTTTTGACTGTTTGTGATTAAATTACATTTTTTTAGGACTCAAAACAGTAGAAAAACTTTAACTTTAACAACGCTACAATACAACCCCGTGACTAAAGTATTTTAACCACGGTTTTGACTGTTTGTGATTAAATTACCACTTTTCGCGTCTCAAAACCGTGGAAAAAGTGACAATTTAAAGGTGGAAGGAGAAAAAATAAACTAATTAAGTCTTTTTTGTTTACCTTCGCTGCAGTTGCTGATTTGGCACGTTGTACATCATGCGGCCTGAACAAAAACTGTCTAGTGAGGTTACTCTTCTCGATGAGGTCCATATCAGTAACAGTAAGTTGTCCACCTTCTCCAGCGACTCCCATCATAGCGAAATTCTTGAGTAATTCGCAGCCGAGTGCACCGGCGCCAACCACAAAGTACTTTAATGCACCTAAAATTATTTTTTAAAATTATTACAAGTTAAATATTTTAATTTTTAACAACATAGCAAGCTTTTTCTGGAAATCTCTCCCGGAAACAGCAATCTGTGCGTCGTATCTCGACCCAATGGGCGCCGCAGTTTCCTCAGTGATCTCCTCCTTATCCTCCGGCAGACATTCGATCGCATCGAAGTACAACCATTGGAAAACCGGATGAAATTTACCCGAACAAGCCTTTATGACTTCCTGCGCGACAATTCCACCAATGGTCGCATTCATGGGATTCAAATCCCCAGAAGAAACCTTCGCGAAAGTCTCCAACAACCCCATTATTGACGCGTCATTGCAAATGGCAGCGACTGATTTAGCAATGGCTAAGAACTCCTCTGCATCTTCAGTACAGCAAGGCTTCGGTAATCTATTAAACTTCTCCTGATACTTATGCAAAGCATTAAAAGCAATGTGCAACTGTGCAGGATGCTCAAACTTAGCAAAATCAGTGATCAAGAACTCTGGTTCTCTAATCGACTCAGCCAGAGGTTTAAATGGTAAGACTTTCGGCATTTTCACCTGTTGGGCAATACCGCCACGTTCATACTTCCCGTAGGCAGTAGTATCGCCAATACTGAAAGTGTACGGCCCGGGGACTTTGATCTTCATCGGCTGCTGATTGTTCAGTTCAGTCATGCCCTTGATCTCGGAGAAGGTGACATAGTCGCCGTCCTCCATGCCGTGGCGCGCGTCATCGATGCAGGTGACGATGGATTCTTTATCGTTGGTGATGTCGGCGATCATGGCCGACACGGTGGACTCGCCGTTCACGTCGACGACGCTGAACGCCGGGCCGAAATCACAGAAAACTTGAGCAAACAGCCCTCGGGTGTCTGCAATCACCAGGGCAATGTTCTTGGCGTGCGTGAACGCGGCGATACGCAATTGTTCAGCGAGGGAACTCGCTGTGAGTACAACCACACGGAATCCACTCAGGAATTCCTCGGAGAGCTCACCGGTGTACGCCTTGGTCGGGACATATGTGTTGAGTTCGGAGAGCTTCTTCAGACAGGCCTCCGCACGGTTTTGACCCACGTCCGATTCGGAGATGTAGAATTGCGACGAGAGGTCATTGGTGGTGCATTTCGCTTCGTCGTGCAGTGTGACACTTTTCACTCCGCCGAGGATAACGTTTTTCGCAACTTCGACGCCGAGACCGCCGAGGCCGGAGATGAGAACGTCACTGGACGCCATGCGGCGCATTGCATCGTGACCCAGCACGTACAGTTGACGCGAGTAGAGGCCCTCGTCGATGTCGCTCGCCCCCTTGGAGGCGCCCGCGCCGTTGTTCGCCATTTCGATGCTCGCCGGCAGCGACGACGAATCAAGCTTCCGCTTCTTGGCTGGGGGATCGACGGAGCTGGCTAGGACTTCAGCACTAGACATCGGACACACAAGACAACGGTTTTAATGCTAGCCGCCTCCACCCTTGAGCCCTAAATTGTTTATGTGCGTGGCGCGTTGGCGAATTAACTACAGAGTTGTCCGCACACAACGCGCGATGGTGGCCGGCGTGACGAACAAGAGAGAGGCAGAGCGCGCGCGAAGCCGGCGGATGGGCAGGATTGCCAAATGGACCCTTTGCAGGGCCCAGCGGGAAATTTGAACGTTGCGCGGGGGGAAACGCACCACTTCTAACGAAGACAACACGCACGCCAATTGGAAACAAACAACAATTAGGAATACTTACGTTGCGACTGTTTGATGGCGGTCAAACACGCAGTCAGACTGACGTGTTGCGATGACTTTCCGTTTTACTACAGCTTCGATTTGCGCCGACATCCGACACACTGCAACGACGCACTCTGGTGGCAATCCACACAACTTGCTTCCTACCTAATCACACAGTGTAACAGTGTTGCCGCTGTGCTCACCAAATGAAACAAAAGCGAAGCGTTTGAAAACTTCTAGAACATTCTGCACTTCAACACTATAAATATGCGCTTGGTTTTAAAAAAGAAATCGATCAAGAAAAACGTAAACGCAGCGTCTCGTGGCCGTGGAAAGGAGTTTACAAGGTAATTATCATTTATTATTTACCTGCGAGTATTGCGTGCGTAATATTACGACATCTTTCGTAATATTCGAATAAAACGTGCAGATTTTTGTAAAATTTATTGATATTACACTCAACAAGATTAAATAACACAATATTCTATAGGTTTACGTTGTTTGCCGGCTTGGGAATCAAGATGGCCGCTCATGGCCGATCGAAAATATCATCGTCGTCCTGATCGATGCTGATCGAGCTACCGAACATGTCCTTGTTGCCCATCGAGAAACGCGGCTTATCATCCTCCGGCTGCCGCCATTCGCCCACCGCCCCCGAGACGCTGCTTTAAGCATTCGTTTAGTGCTAATACTACAACTTTTACACAGCCCTGCAAATTTATGCCATAGATATTTCCATAACATTAGTCAATCATTATCGGTGTTCATTAATCCCAAATCGCAGAATTAATTTCCGGTTGGCAGCGGTGTGGTAAGAGATTAGAGTAAATGTGACAAACACAAACACACACACATTGATAAAAACAAACGACAATAAACAGATTAAACACGCAAAACAAAGTTACGGAAATATCCATACGATATGACTCGTTTTCGTAAGCACATATGGTTTCTGAATCTAATGAGCAAACCGCAAAATTGGTCATAGTTAAATTTGCGTCGCTGAGCTTTGGATCTATCACTTTGACATGACCTTGAATGCACTACTTACTCGATGTGTTGCATGCGCGCACGATGATCGGATGATTTCCCACCGTCCGAACCGGAACTCTTCGCTCGAATGGCGGTGTTGGATCCAGGCCTGCCGTCCCACGAATTGTGCCTTCGATGGGCGCTCATTTTCTCAGGTATACTACACAAATCATTAAATTATAAACAATTTACTTAAAATTATTACATACCTGTCGCCTATACGACGTTTATCAAGTTCTTTCTGGATTGATTCAGGTATTCCATTGGTTTCCTAAAGAAAAATTATATAAATATTACATAAATAAGTATTTATGTATGTTTAGTTGCCTACTTTGTGGTCAATTGGGTTGGTCCACACGTTACTAGCACCGGTGCGTTGATGGCTGCCTATTTCTGCACTGATGGCTCCGGTTTGTATCAGCGGCGACCTAACGCAAGCCCTAGAATGAACTCCACTTGAATGGGACAGCAGATTAGCTCATCACAAACAAGCGTTTGAAATTAGAAGGCACTTGGAGCATTTAAACATTGCGTTTTGCATTTCTATGTTTATTTCTCGCAATAGCAGAGATTTTATTATGTGCGTGACAGTGCAATATAACCAAAAAGCTGTCAAAATGGTCCAGGAACCTTCTACTACTCCTGTAACATAGGCAACTTAAAATACACTTACGAATTGACATCTTCCAGCTTTTTAAGTAGGCGTTCATTTTCTCGCGAGACTATTTCATGTTCTCTTAACAACGCATCACGTGACGCGAATAATTCTTCATTATCTTTATGTAGAGCTTCGTTTTCTTGCACGTAGACTCTGATGAGTTCGACAAGTTGCGGACCTTCTAGTTGTGCAAGACGATCGGGATTAACATCTTCGGGACTTAATATCGGACGACCTGATATAAAATCATATTTAATTAATTATTTATTTATGGTAGGTGAAAATAAACTATAAAAAAAGTTAACCGCGTTGTACCTCTGGTGGGACTCGAACCCACAATCCTCGGCTTAGGAGGCCGATGCCTTATCCATTGGGCCACAGAGGCGCTTGCAATATCGCCGCACGCGCACTAAGTCTCAACGACGACTTTACGTAAACACGTTTAGATACGAGGTCGTTGAAACACTACGCATGCGCATGCAACTTACGCATTGCGACACTCAGTAGGCGGATGCGGATGTGTATAAATAGTAAACACGTAAAAAAAAACTCACCGGTGACGCTCGTTTCGCTAAAACTACTTGATTTGTAGCCATTTAGAGCGGATCGCAAGTGTTCATTCTCGGTCTGCAGTGCGTTCACTTCACGTTTCAAACTTAGAATCAACGCTTCCCGTGGATCCTATAATTTAATATAATATTATTTAATGTAGGCAACCAAAATCACATTTTTTACCATCAAAACCACCGGTTTGGTTCGGATTTTCTTCGCGCGAGCTGCATATCGAAGCGTATTGATACTCTCTGCGTAGTTATACTTTGCGGGTGAAATGCAAGCGATCTGTAATCGATTGATTGCGTTTAAAAATTAATTATTCAATTACGTGTTAAATTATAGCACTTGCCATCAACGTGACGCCATTCCCAGCTAACGAATCAGCGAGGAGTTTTGTTAACTTTGAATCTCTGTAGGGGATGTGTTTGTCTTTACGTTTTGGGTCACTTAGTGAAGCAATGCAGTAGCCTGAGAAGTAAAAACATGATCAATAGATCAATTATCGGTGGAAATTGCTTGACCCGAATCAGTCAAGTGGAAAACTCAGAAATCAGAAATCAGAACAAAACGGATAAGGTCAATACTATTTTTGTATTGGAGACTTAATTGAACACTCACCTAGAACCATCAAACTTTTATTGATGTTGTTTGCTTCTTCGAGGGTTTTTCCTTCGCTTTGCGTCTTTTTTGTCATTTCACTGCCTGCTAAATCAACGAAGTTTAATTTTCCCGAGCGGGAGATGAAGACGCCATTTTCCGCCGGTTGCTCAGAGGTTATGTAGACGGATAATATCGTGTGACTTCGACTAAACACACAAATTTTATGTTTTTTTAATTTTTATTAACTTAAGTAATAATTTGAGGTTATACCTTGAGGTGTCGTTCATGTTGTGGCTGCCTACTGAACGATTCCGCATTCCTTCCTCGAGGACAGCGATTAAATCGTCTAATTCTTCGCAATCTACCGTGAATAGATTCTCGACGAAAAACCCACGCGCTTTTTTACTCCATCTGACGGCGAGGGGTTTACGTACACTGCCTGGGTTTAATAAATCGATGACTTTTTCGTTGTAGATTTCCAAAAAACTTGCTTTAAGCACAAAATGCATCTCGGGTTTGGCTTTTATCAGTTGGAATAGGTATAAGAATGACCGGAAAACCAATCCGTGTTGGTCACTGTACGGAGCAAATTTTTTCCCAAACTAAAAACAATTTTTTTTTAATTTTAATTTTTTTAAGTAAAAACTGTTTTTTAATGTTTTTATATTACCAGTCCGGGTGGACCTGTCAATGTATGCGTTTTCCCACTTCCGGTTTGTCCGTAACAGAACGCTGTACATCTAAAACCTTCCATTGCCATTTCTATCAGGCGTTTTATACCGGAAAACTGCAAAACGTCTTCTTGCGTCGCCGCAGGCTCGAAAACAACGTTGTATGAGAAAAGTTTTGGTTTTTTCTCGCCTCTTGGACCTCCATCATCAACAGCTTCACACTAAATATCGATTTTTAAGTGTTTTTTATGAAAATTGTGAAAAACTTACTAATATTTGGCCATTTCCCGGAAATTGCAACACTGGACGATCTCCACGTTGTTGTTCCTTTGGATTTAAGGGCCTTACTCTTAAAAATCACCCAAAAAGTTTAGAAATTAGGTTAGTTTTACTTTTAATCATGAATAGTTAAGAAATCGTACGATAGGTGGCGTTATATGTACAAAATTTTGAATTTTTACCTTACTACGACATTAATATTATCTTCTCCTTGATTAAAAGTGGAAATAACACGTCGAGTTGTATCTGTTTCATCGAATACATCGATACTTCCGGTGCTGCAACAAAATAACCAATTAATATCTGTTTATTTTAAGCTTATATGTAAATATAACCTAAAAATAACTTCTGTTTATCTATATATTATTTAAAGCGTGTAATTAACTACGATGCTAATTTACCATCCAGGGGTGAATGTTGGATCGAAGCCCTTTTAATAGACACCACTGGACGCCATTGCTGGTGTCGGCAATAAAAAATTAACGCGACACGCGACTCGCATCATGCAGCAATGGCGTAAACGCAAACATTTACGCTGCAATTGGCGTGTGTGACACGTGAGGAGCAATTGCCTCGTGCAATATTAATGCCCATCGGCGGCCATTTGCTTGTCAATTGTTTCACGACGTGTGCGTGCGGGTAATTATTCAACGCAAATTTCGTGAAAATCAACCACGTACAAGTACAACACCTTTGATATTTGATATTTGGTGAGTTGTGAAATGTCTAGATAGGATTTAACCTCAAATATTTGATTTTTACAGATTTCTACTTTTTTTTTTGAATGTTTGAATAAGTTTTTGTAGGTTAGTGGTTTGTAATGAATATTCTCGAAATGCATAAAGGTATTAAGATATAGTGAGTGATAAAGTGTGGATATAAAGTCAAGGTCAACTTTAGGTGGCCATTAACTGATTGCCGCATAATGCCACAGGTCTGCACTCACAACGACGCAGGAGTCAGATTGCCATCATACCTACACACATGCATAACCTCACTTAACAGCTTTTTGCTTGACTAATGCTGTGTTGTGGTGGTTTCTAGAAATAAGTGCTCATAACTATTGTAAGAATGGGTGGAATGTTCGAATGTGAGGTGGGAATGCTTTTATTATCGTCTGAGTGTGTTTTATGAATTAATGCATGATTTTTTTGTTTTGTGGGTTTACGTTGGCATGCTTTTACCGGGAAATTGTATATTACAGTACTAATTTGACTTTAACACAATCTAGAAGAATTTTCATTAAGAAAAATTGAGTTGTTGAGTAAATTTCGAGAAAATTACGTGTTTTTGATTATGTTTGTGATAAGAAATGAATAATAAGCAAACATTTTGTTGAATTAAGTAAACTTATACTAATTTTCTATTTTTAAGTAGTGGGGAATGAAATACCGGTATTAATACCGGTATTTTTTGTTTCAAAAACCGATATTTTTCAATATGATATTGTTTGTGATATATACCGGTTTACCGATATCTCAATTGCAATATCGATAAACAGATGAGTTAAAACAAATGTCGTAATTGTGAAAACTTCCCAAATCTGCGACACAGCAGTCACTTTAAACTTTAAAGTGCAACAAAAAGGTTCAACTTGGGTTGTCTCAGAAATAATGTTTTCTATTATGCTAAACATTCATCAAATCCGAAAATATCAAATAAATACTTCGACACTGGCAATTAACATTGCAAGATTGACTCATTTACCAATTTTAGAATTAATCTGCAATTAATCAATTATCATTGCATGTTTTTATTTAGCATACTTTCAAAATTGAAAATATTTCTAATTAATTTATTTAATTATTTTATAAATACCGGTATTACCGGTTTTCTAATATTTTTATTAAAAAAATACCGGTATTGAACTCAAAATTTACAATTTTAGCTCACTCCCTATGGCTGAGTAAATATAACATGCTTGGAAATTGCCTAACCCAATTTTTTTACTTATCTTTATTTTTACCATAAATTCTTGTAGTTTCTCTAAATGTCACTTCAGAATTTATTCATAAAAAGACAATAACGAAATGTTGGTGATTAATCATCGATAACTGTCATTGTCCACAATAAAACAAAAGCATTCGGAGAAACAAAATGGACGAGTTTACCCGTGACCTTATAAACATATCAAACTAACTAACCATGAAACTCATAAACCTTATGAAATAAACTGCATAAACCGAATAATTGCCATTTATTACGATATAACTTCCTAGACTGCTAAGTAGTAACTTTTAAAGTTTGTCCATCATGCATACACTAGGATAATGAGCATTTATGACGTCATGTGTGTTATGTAGGCGTCACCTCTATTTTGTGAAGAATTTTTTTATTGCTTTATCAGCCTAATATTACTGTTTTTTTTTTTGGTTACATACTGATGATAGTAATCAATAAATTATTGACAGTGTTCCATATTTCGGAAATAACTTAATAATCAATTAGATAAAATGCTAAATTATTTGATAATAAATTTACTCGTAAAGTAAGTACTTTGGACTTAATGATACTCATTTTTAAATTTTAGATTATGTATTAAATATTGAGTGAAATTGTTAAAATAACTACTTTTAAGTCATTAACTAGAGCATTATAAAAATTACTGCATAGCTGGTTGCATATGAGTACTTAAGCTGATGTTACGAGTATACCACAACTCAAAGCATTGGCAATTTTTTAATTTTAAAATTTTTCTTTAAAAAAAGTATTTTTATTCATATTTCATTATTTTACCAAGAATACAAAGCATTACTTCTTTATTTTTGTTTTATGATCAATAAATTACCAATAATGTCATGATTAAGCATAAATTAATAATGAATTAGATCAAACTGTAGATAAATTTAAAGTGGGCATTAAGTATGAACATATTGACACTAATTTAGATTTTAGTTGATTAAATATTCATTAAAATTGTTAAAATAACAACGTTTTAGTGATTACTAAAACTATCCCTACTAATATTATAAATGCAAAAGTCCTGATGTTTGTTACACTTTCACGCAAAAACTACTTAACCGATCATCATGAAAATTTGTACACATATTCTTAGTGGTCCCCGAATGGTTATTTGTAATGAATATTCTCGAAATGCATAAAGGTATTAAGATATAGTGAGTGATAAAGTGTGGATATAAAGTCAAGGTCAACTTTAGGTGGCCATTAACTGATTGCCGCATAATGCCACAAGTCTGCACTCACAACGACGCAGGAGTCAGATTGTCATCACACCAACACACATGCATAACCTCACTTAACAGCTTTTTCCTTGACTAATACTGTGTTGTGGTGGTTTCGAGAAATAAGTGCTCATAACAATTGTAAGAATGGGTGGAATGTGAGGTGGGAATGGTTTTATTATCGTCTGAGTGTGTTTTATGAATTAATGTATGAGACTTTTTGTTTCGTTGGTTTACGTTTCATGCTTTTACCGGGAAATTGTACATGTGCTAGACTAATTTGACTTTAACACAATCTAGAAGAATTTTCATTAAGAAAAATTGAGTTGTAGAGTAAATTTCTAGAAAATTACGTGTTTTTGATTTTGTTTGTGATAAGAAATGAATAATAAGCAAACATTGTGTTGAAATGAGTAAACTTGATACTAATTTCCAATTTTTAAGTAGTGGGGAATGAAATACCGGTATTAATACCGGTATTTTTTGTTTCACATTATGATATTGTTTGTGATATATACCGTTTACCGATATCTCAATTGCAAATATCAGATAAACAGATGAGTTAAAACAAATGTCGTAATTGTGAAAACTTCCCAAATTCCAGTGACACAGCAGTCACTTTAAACTTTAAAGTGCAACAAAAGGTTCAACTTGGGTTGTCCTCTAGAAATAATGTTTTCTATTATGCTAAACATTCATCAAAATCCGAAAATATCAAATAAATACTTCTGACACTGGCAATTAACATTGCAAGATTGACCTATTTACCAATTTTAGGAATTAATCTGCAATTAATCAATTATCATTGCATGTTTTTATTTAGCATTACTTTCTCAAAATTGAAAATATTTCTAATTAATTTATTTAATTATTTTATAAATACCGGTATTACTGGTTTTCTAATATTTTATTAAAAATACCGGTATTGAACCTGTACTTACAATTTTAGCTCACTCTAAGTGGCTGAGTAAATATAATACGCTTGGAAATTGCCTAACCCAATTTTTTACTTATCTTTGATATTTCTTTACCATAAATTCTTGTAGCTCTTCTAAATGTCACTTCAGAATTTATTCATAAAAAGACAATAAAGAAAAGCTAGTGATTAATCATCGATAACTGTCATTGTCCACAATAAAACAAAAGCATTCGGAGAAACAAAATGGCCGAGTTTACCCATGGCCTTATAAACATATCAAACTAAACTACTATGAAACTAAACAACCCTATGAAATAAACTGCATAAACCGAATAATTGCCATTTATTACAATATAACTTCCTAGACTGCTAAGTAGTAACTTTTAAAGTTTGTCCATCATGAATAAACTGGGATAATGAGCATTTATGACGTCATGTGTGTTACGAGTATGTAGGCGTCACCTCCATTTTGTGAAGAATTTTTTTGTTGCTTTATCAGCACTAATATTACTTTGTGTTTTTTTTTCTTATCTACTGATGATTGTAATCAATAAATTATTGACAATGTTCCATATTTCGGAAATAACTTAATAATCAATTAGATAAAATGCTAAATTATTTGATAATAAATTTACTCGTAAAGTAAGTACTTTGGACTTAATGATGCCCATATTTAGATTTTAGATTATTAAATATTGAGTGAAATTGTTAAAATAACTACGTTTTAGTTATTAACTGAAGCATTATAAAAATTACTGCATAGTTGGTTGCATATGAATACTTAAGCTGATATTACGAGTATACCGCAACTCAAAACATTGGCCACTTTTAAATTTTAAAATTTTTCTTTAAAAAACATTTTTGTTCATATTTTATTATCTTACCAAGAATACAAAGCATTACTTCTTTATTTTTGTTTTATGTTCAATAAATTACTGCTACGTCATGATTACATACCACAATGAATTATGATCAAACTGTAGATAAATTTAAAGGGCATATATGGAACATATTGAGACTAATTTAGATTTTAGTTGATTAAATATTCATTAAAATAGTTAAAATAACAACGTTTCAGTGATTACTAAAATTATCCCTACACATAAATGCAAAAGTCCTTGATGTTTGTTACACTTTCACGCAAAACTACTTAACCGATCATCATGAAAATTTAAAAATAATATATTCTTAGGTGGTCCCCGAATGGTTATAGGCTACTTTTTTATTTAATAAAAAATTATTTTTTAAATAAAAATAAAGGAATTGTTTAGGCAATAATACCTCTGCATCTGGCTATTTGATCACTTTTAACGCTATCTACATTCCAGTAATGAAGTCAAAACCTAAGTACTATAGTACCATCACACTGTATTATCACACTGTATTACCGACAGCTACGTCAACATCAAACTAATTGACTGCTAATTATGGAGACTGTACACTATACTTCCATAGACTATACTTTCAGCCATTTTAAACTGTATTTACTTCATTTACTTTATTTACTATTTATATTCTACTTTTATATTGTTACTTTTCTGTGACTACAGACGCGTACGGAATCTTCATTGTTTTAGATATTCAAGTGAGCGAAGTCATGGGTTAAAACCATAGTAGCATTATAGGCCTGACTGCTTTAGTTACCAAACTAACACTATACCGCAACTTCAAAGTATTAACCATCATTGCATTTAAAAATCAACTTTAAAAAAAATTTATTCATATTTTACTTTAATATAACAAAACATTATTTTTTTCTCATTTTCTAAAAAAAAACTCCAATCACATAATGACATAACAATTACTTTTCTTTTACGTCCCTCATTAATTATTTCTTCATCAGTCTTTAATGGTATTTTCACATTTCACAAAACGACTATAAAAAAATTGAAGGTTGCATATGCATAACTAATGCGTAGTCAATCACTGCCCATCCAATACCTCTGTCTAGATTTTCAACCATCGAATAATTACACTTTTTCAACTTTTTCTTTGTTTTGCCCATATGGTAAATAATAACCTTCGTCCTGTCAACCCAACCTACCTCTACCTATGTCTTTCCATACACACGTCCGCTTAATTTGTTTTCGATAAAATCAATACTCACTTTTTTTTTATTTCTTGTCTATTACCAATCGAAATAAATGCTGAAAAACAATTGCGCTCCTATTTATACACACGCACCGAATCAAATAATCTATTTGTTATAAATTATAAATTAAACAACAAACAAAAAATTTCGTTTCGTGGCCTGAAATACCTCGCAATCATAATTAACTTTCGCTTAACGTTTAATTTAAATAATTCAAGGGTTAAGTCGGACTGGAATTCTTTTCTGTTGACAAACAGACGAAATGTTTTCTAGTCCTTTGATTATTATCATGTTGTCTGATGTACGAGTACACAACATGTCATTCTTCTTTGTATTCTTCAATATATTTATTCTAATTGTCATTGCTCGGCTTACACTCTATTTACTCAGCGTGGAAAATAGAAATATTTCTTTGTATTACTGTGTAAATACGGTAAACATGCTGGAGGAAGACTTGATGTGAAAAACCACTCAAAACAATTGTTCATACAAACAATAACGGATATATTTGTTTCCATATTTCATTTGGATGCGTCAGACTTTGTAATTATCTTGACAGGATTCACCTTGACCGCAAGAAAATTAAATTTATCTTAATTTTTATGTTTTTAAGTTTAAAAATATCGTAAAATTTAGTCTTATGCAAGTTTTTATGCTTTTTAGTGTAAAACTAGTTGCCTACATTAGGAATTTGTGTTTACTTGCAATTTAATCGCAAGAAAATGAATTTAAACGTACTTTTTGTCGTTTTTAGGTTAAAAATACTCGAAAATTTTATTTCTATTCATGTTTTAATGCTTTTTAGAGTAAAACTGGTTGCCTACATTAGGAATTTGTGTTTATTTTCAATTTAATTGAAAGAAAACAAATTTAAATTTAATTTTTGTCTTTTTAGGTTAAAAATACTCGAAAATTTCATTTCTATTCATGTTTTAATGCTTTTTAGTGTAAAACTGGTTGCCTACATTAAAGAATTTGTGTTTATTTTCAATTTAATTGAGAGAAAACGAATTTAAATTTAATTTATGTCTTTTTAGGTTAAAAATAGGCGTAAAATTCATTTCTATGCAATTTTTAATGCTTTCTAGTGTATTATTGGTTGCATACATTAAAAATTTATGATTTACTTACTCGCTGCCACGTGATTGAGGTGTTTTTGCCGGACTACTCCCTCGGGAACTCCGATTACTTGTTGTATTTCGCACAGGACTATTCCCAACACTTCTTGCTTTCGTTGGAGGAGTTTTCTGAGGACTTCTTGCTGGACTACGGCCAGGTGGAGGTCTTCTTACTGCTGGAGGTGTGCTGGCTTTCTTTTTAGCTCCTGGAGGAGTTACAGCTGTTGTCCTGTTAGGACTATTCCCCCTGGACCCCGGAGGGGTTTTGTATAATCTCGTTGGTCTCGTTACCATCATAATTCCAACATCTTGATCTTAAATCTTTAAAAAAAAGACAAAATAGGCAACTTAATATACATTAATATAGATATAGTAACATGGGTTGCATATATTGTGATAATTACTTCTAAACGTTTTGGTATTTTGTGAAATGTGAAATAAAAACTTCCGGAATATTCTTGTTTGAATTTCCGTGTAGTGCGTGTTGCTGTGGGTGAAACATTAATGAAGCCGAATCGTGATGGAAGTGATGAAATCATGGCACGCACGCAAGGGTCAACAATGAATTCGAAACATCTTTAAGGCGCTTTTAATGGTCAAAGTTACGCAAGGTTAGTGCCCTTCATGGCCAAGGGTCAAAACTATCAATATAATCGGAAACGAGAACAAGCAAAGGAAAATTAGGATGAAAATTGACTTGAATTATGTTTGATTAGTTGATAAATTACGAGAAAATCGACAAATTACACATTTAAACAAAAATCAAACATAATTATCTTACGTTTCTAGTATAAAACAACGTATGTGTATTTTTATTTTGTATTTTTGGTTGCCTATAGTTTTAAACGCATAAAATTACTTACTTATTAATTTTTGATTTATGAATGTTAAGCAAACACTTTCAACACTTTGATTTAGTAACTACATATATTTTATTCACTTTTATCCGTCAGTTGTCAATTTTAAGTGTTTCTTTATCCTTTTAAGTCTTGTTTGTCCTTTGTTGTCTTTGCTTTCCTATTTTTTCGTGTTTGTCACTTTTCCCCTATAAGTTTTCACTGCGCGCGTGTCATTGTCAACTTTACTAACGCGATTTCGCGTGCAGGGGTGTTGAATTCACATGGATGACTGACGAACGTGAAAAAATGCCGCCGCCGACGCCGCCGACGCGTCCGCGCGCGTCGCTATGATTCCCGCGCGACGCCAATAATACAAACACACGCCATTCATTCCACTATTCCGCTATTCTTTTCCGATGGCGACGATGATGCTTCAACGAGCTTTCGATTCACCATTTACTAACATACACTTAGTCAATACAATCAAATACAAACATTTTTTATGTGTATTATGCAACCAAATACACAATATAATACAAATAAAAAAGAAAACTTTTATTTACTTAACATTAAAACGTTAAAAACCCAAAAAAACAAAAAAATAAAAAATTTGTTTGAAAAATTTTTCAATACCCAGTAAATCGCCTGACTATGTCCGCCATTTCGTACGCTTATCATCACGCTCGCATCGACACACTCACAACAGAATATTATGTCCTAGTAGTATATTTTGAAGATACCCACGCACGACAACGCGAAACAAATGAATATCGACGCGAACATACTCCAAACTAAACAAAAACAAAAGGAAATGTAATAACAATTACACCACGTGTAGTTTTAATGAAAATTAATCGATTTTCCGTCAATATTATTTCAATTTTTTTGTTTAATGGGGTTTTTATGGTATAATATTAGTGTATCTGATATTTCTGGATCAATTAGTGTCCTTGTGGAATGTCCCACCTACGAAACACCTCATTATTCGACTGGTTATTAATTATTTATGGTGAAATAATAATTGTAGTCAATTTTGGTGGATGATGTGTATGTAAAGTTAGTTTTTCAAGGATTTTATAAGTTTTATTACAGAATTTATTAAATATTTAGTTAAATAATATGTTTAATACTATAATTTGTGAAGTTAGAAGTTGCGCCATCTATTATTGAGGTAATAAATTAATTAATGTATGATTGGTTGCCTATAAGTTGAGATTTTGTGACTTTTATTACAAAAATAGTTAATATTGAGTAAAATAATAAGTTTTTGACAATAATTTCTCTGATTGCAAGTAACGCCACCTATTAGAGAGGTGATAAAGTAGTAAATGCATAATTGATTGCCTATAAGTTATAAAAAATACTTTAAATCATATTTTAACCTAGTTTTATAAAATTCTCAACATAAACATCGATAAACTTCCTTGTTAGTTTTAAAACAATTTCCTCTCTTGTTATCATTATTAAATCACCACGTGTTGTAATTTGTAATCGATTACAATCTGCATAAAACACATAAATTCATAAATAATTAATGAAGATTTTTATATTTCTTAACTGACGCATGCGTAGTTGCTGTTGGTATGTTGATTGAAAGAGAAAACACGTAAATGTAAACAACATGTGCATTTGAAGAACAATTAGTTATTATTAGAAAGGTGGATGTGAGTTGTCGATCAATTTTTCGATCGCAAACAATTTTTTCATTCGTACCACACATTGCGGACTTGCCGTCGTGCGGAGTTGACTGAATGGACGTGGTGTGTAATCATCGTTGCGTTTATAATTAATAATCAAACTGTTTTACAACTTGTTCATTTATGATTGGTATAATGTAGGTAAAGCAAGGTTAAGTATGGGTTTCAGTTGCAAAGTTGCACTTAGTATAAGTAGGAATTAATTAATTTTAATAACTAAAATTTTCTTTTTTTGCATTTCTTGGTTTATTATTTATCAAATTGTTTACGGTAAAATATTAATTTATGTAGAATTTTATTGAGAATAGAATAGTTAAAGATTTGATGTTCTGACATTTATAGTTTTTGAATAATTAATTAAAAAGTAAACAAAAACATGACACAAGAAAGTTTAGTTCGAAGGTTTTTTATGAGTAATTAATTAATTACTTGACAATTAAACACGATAAAATATTTTTTCTTGTTGTTTATGATTTTACATTAAATTTTACACTGATTGATGTAAAATTTGTTTATTTATTAATAATAGTTCAAAAGTTATTAACAAAAACGTTCGAAAATTTTAAAATTTTACAAAATCACGAATAAACTAACAAATTTAAATTAATTTTAATAAAATAAGTAATAAAAACATTAAGAATTTAATTCTGAACAAAAATATGTAAAAATAATAATAATATCACTAATAGTTTTCGAGTTATTATCAAATAATTATCGAAAATCATGACTTGCGCATACAAAAACAGTTACATAATATTTCCAGGGCCTTCAAGTCAAAACTATCACCAAAAATAAAAATCCACACTCAAATGACAAACAAGTTACCAACACGTTTCATTTTTAATTGTTTCTAATTATCCAATCAAATCAATAACGGTAAATAATAAAAATACACACCTCACTTATAAATAAATACCTAACTTCAACACAGACAGTCTACAAAAAAATATTTTAAAAAATATTATCAATCAAACAACAACAAAAACAAAGAAAAAACCGTTACAAAAGTAAAACTAAATTATTTTCGATTATAACTATCCTTCATAATAATATTTATGACATTTTACAATCACTATCACACGATGCATACACTGTATGTGGGTAAATTGGTTAATTAATTAACGCTCGACCTGCATTCAACTTCAAAGTGCAAAACACACATCATTTTCATTCGCGACCACACACAGACTGAGCGTCAGTGGAGTTGACTGAATGGACGTGGTGTGTAATCATCGTTGCGTTTATAATTAATAATCAAACTGTTTGCTAACTTGTTCATTTAAGATTGGTATATTCGTAGGTAAGGTAAGGTTTAAGTATGGGTTTCAGTTGCAAAGTTGCACTTAGGATAAGTAGGAATTAATTAATTTTGATAACTAAAATTTTTTTTTTTTGCATTATCTGGCGTATTATTTATCAAATCGTTTACAGTAAAATATAAATTTATGTAGAATTTTATTGAGAATAGAAAAATGTAAGATTTGATGTTTTGACATTTATAGTTTTTGTATAATTAATTAAAAAGTAAACAAAAACATGACACAAGAAAGTTTGGTTTTCATGTTTTTTAAGAGTAATTAATTAATTACTTGACAATCAAACATGATTAAATATTTTTTTCTTGTAGTTTATGATTTTGCATTAAATTGTACACTGATTGATGTAAAATTTGTTTAATTATTAACAATATTTCAAAAGTTATTAATAAAAACGTCCAAAAATTTTAAAATTTTACTAATTCACGAATAAACTAATAACTGTTAATTAATTATAAATAACTAAACAATAAAAACATTAAGAATTTAATTCTGAACAAAAATATGAAAAAAATATTAATAATATCACTAATAGTTTTCGAGTTATTATCAAATAATTATCGAAAATCATGACTTGCGCATACAAAAACAGTTACATAACATTTCCAGGACCTTCAAGTCAAAACTACCACCAAAAATAAAAATCCACACTCAAATGACAAACAAGTTACCAACACGTTTTATTTTTAATTGTTTCTAATTATCCAATCAAATCAATAACGGTAAATAATAAAAATACACACCTCACTTATAAATAAATACCTAACTTCACCACAGACAGCCTACAAAAAAATCTTTAAAATATATTTTCAGTCAAACAACAACAAAAACAAAGAAAAAGAAAAAACCGTTACAAAAGTAAAACTAAATTATTTTCGATTATAACTATCCTTCATAATAATATTTATGACGTTTTACAATCACTATCACACGATGCATACACTGTATGTGGGTAAATTGGTTAATTAATAATTAACGCTCGACCTGCATTTTCAACTTCAAAGTGCAAAACACCCAACCACACAGACATAAAATACACACATATAAACTGAACGATAACTTTTAATATGTTAATTGGTGCAAGTTTATATGAATGCGCGCGTTGCAATAAACGATATTTGATATTTGATAGAAACATCCAGGAAATACGGAAACAACGAACACACATTATGAGGGTCAAAGTATAATCAAATTTTATTGCTTACTTTCCATTAGAAATAAATGTTTTTATTACATTTTAATATAATATGGTAATAAAACGCCTGAAAGTAGGTTATGTCGCATTATTCCTTTAAAAAAATCAATTTTTCAAAGTAAATCAATCAAATATTCACGTTTTTAACTCAAAAAAGTTAAATTTAAATATAATATCCGTATCCGTAACCAAATGGGTATCCATATCCACCATAACCATATCCGTAGTAAGGATAATCGTATCCGTAACCAAATCCACCGTATCCATGGTATGGATAACCGTAATGGCCGAAGCCACCATAACCTCCATAACCTCCATAACCGCCGTATAATCCGTACGCGCCGTAGCCGTAACCAGCGCCGTATAGTCCACCGTAACCTCCGTAGAGGGCGCCACGTTTAACTGTGCGTTTTACTCCTGTTGAAGGGTCGGATTGTTCATCGGAAACATTTGGGAGTGCAACAACAGGCACACCGGAGTCTAGACCTAAAGGTCGTACACCTTGTTGCACTGGTTGTGCAGTTAAAACTTGTACAAAGGCCAAAAATGCCAAAAAACACAAATTAACCTAAAAATATTCAAAATTAGACTGTCAAATGTCAAAAAACATTAAAATCAGTTAAAATAGTAAATATTATTAATGTTTATACGTATTTTAACTTTAAAACAATGAAAATTGTTGATTTACCTTATAAATTTCCATTTTAAAGCTTATATCACTTAATATAGGCAACTTGTTGATCATACAACACGGCTGTTGTGATTTGTTCTTGATGATGTTGATATGAGCGTCGTGAAATGTTTATATACATGCAATCAAACCACTTTTTGCCCCTCTTACATGTTTCATTTTTCGCTAAAACACGTTGCAGCAAATTGTATCTTTTTACATATAAGTTGTGTACATACATACGTCAAGGTCATCTAGCGAGGAAGGATAGCACTCATGGCACTGGCCTAATGACAATAATAATCATAACAATGATGAGTACGATAGACCCGGTGCCGGCCAAGACGTCTCTATTAAGTTGCGCACAAAAAATTACGCGGTAAAAAGTGATCGCGTGCAGGCACAGCCATTAATATGTAATCATTGCGAAATTCCGGCAGCCAACAATACACATCCATGGGTATTACATGTTTATATTTTGTTTTGTTTAATTTTCGACGTAAATAATTGTTTTAAGCATTGATTAACTTTTACTTGGAAGAATTTTTAATAAAATAATGACGCATGGGCGGAATTCGGGAGGTTCTTTGGCTTGGTGCGGGGTTTTAATGATAATGATTGTTGTTCATGTGATTACCGATTAAATAATCACGTAAATTATACAATGGACAAATATGTGTCAAGAATTTTATCTACTTTGTCATAATTACAGCTTATTACATTAGTGGACAATAAAAACTCATTTTTTTGTTTTTTTAAGTAACGCCATCTATTAACAAATAGTTCTGAAGGCATTTAATAAGTTTTATTGTTATAACTTGCAATAAATTGATAGTTAATCATTAAAAAGCAATAAAATGATTAATTTTCCATTTTAAAAGCAGCGCCATCTGTTATTAAATAGTATTGAAGTGATTTTGCAAATTTTAAGTAACGCCATCTATTAACAAATAGGTCTGAGCGAATTTAATGAGTTTTATTGATATAACCAGCAATAAACAACTGGTTAAACATTAAAAAAACGTCAAAATGATTAATTTTCCATTTTTAAAGCAGCGCCATCTGTTATTAAATAGTTTTGAAGTGATTTTACAAATTTTAAGTAACGCCATCTATTAACAAATAGGTCTGAGGGAATTTTATGAGTTTTATTGATCTAACCTGCAATAAACAGCAGGTTAATCATTAAAAAACAACAAAATGATTAATTTTTCATTTTTAAAGCAGCGCCATCTGTTATTAAATAGTTTTGAAATGATTTTACACGTTTTAAGTAACGCCATCTATTAACAAATAGTTCTGATGGAATTTAATGAGTTTTATTGATTTAACCTGCAATAAACAGCTAGTTAAACATTAAAAAAACAATAAAATTATTAATTTTCCATTTTTAAAGCAGCGCCATCTGTTACCAATTAGTTTTGATGTAATTTTATTAATTTTAATGACATAACCTCCACTAATCCGTTGGTAAAACACAAGTAGACACTAAAATTATTAATTTTCCATTTTTAAAGTAACGCCATCTGTTGTCAAAGAGTTTCAATATAATTTTCCAATTTTTATTGACATAACCTGTAAATTCATGACATTTACACCCTAAAAATCACCCCTGTGCGCTTCTCGATCCACGGCACAAACGCCTGAACTTTCGTATAAATATCCGGCACGCCAGTGGCGCACGGCGTTCCGCGTGAAACAATACCTATTTGTTTACCGCCTGCTATCAGCGGCCCGCCGGAATCACCCACGCACGCGCCCTTTCCCTCCCTAGTCGAAGTACAAATCAACGTGGAGTCATCATCGTTCCTAATCGCCAGAATCAACCCCGGGGGAAACCCGGGTATATTCAAATAATCCTCCCGCTGACATTTCGTCACACGAAGCGTGACACTGTGCAGTGGCGGAACATCTTTTGTATTCTTACGTGCTGATAACAATCCCCAACCAATTAAAGTTGCTTGTGTACCTTCTGGTATAGGAGATGTGTTAAGACGTATTTTTTGTCCTGCGCCGAAGGTTACAGGTTCCTTTAATTCGATTAATGCGATGTCATTGTGTTCTCCGTCGTATTTTTCATGTAGGATTAGATTTTTTGCGTAATAACGAGTGCCACCAGCGTATTTTGTGCTGCCTATAAACACGCGGACGTCGTTTGTTCTGTTGAGTGAAAGTTTCAAAAAATGAAATGTAGGTGGCGCTAGTGGTATTGTTAGTATACAAATACCTTATTTTTTCTAAACAGTGAGCAGCTGTGAGTATCCAACGTGAATGAATAATAGATCCGCCACATAATCGCACTTCGTAGAGGTTTACACGACTGACAACTGATGCCATGAATGGATAACTGTCCCAATTGATGTTTTTACCTCCGATTATTTTCGTCTGGTAGTTGGTATTCACACCAGCAGTGAGAAACAAAACTGTAATGTGTTTGATTTATGTTAGGCAACCAAACATACACTTAAGTTTTAATAAAGTATAAATACAGACGTTTATAGTGATAATTATCTACTTTGATGTGAATTTTATGCTAAATTAGCTTGAAAAACCGTATAAAAATGTTTGTGATGTTAGGAAAATGCGTTGATAAGTAATTAACAGTCAGTTGCATAATTAAGCAACGGGCGTGACTCGACGCAACAATCTTGAGTATCCTGACATTTATTGCGTTTCGATGTAAAAATCCAGTTCGCAGCGCGCCGGAAGCGACAATCCCGCATTCTTACGCCGCCATGTTAGCAGCGCTCGATGGTCATTTGCGAAATTTACGAGTGTACTGCGAGATTTAATTACTACCTGAGTGTGAATTGTGTCCAGAGAGAATTTTTATTGAAATTAAACTTGATTTTAAACATTTTTATTTTAAATTTAAATATTGAGTCTGACTTGGTGGCGGGTTTAACTAGACTAGCGGTAGAATTACTATCACTATCACTATTGTTATTGAACTTAGTTACGAGTAACATATTTAAACGAAGGTTTAAACGAGTATTTAAATGTTTTTGTCGAAATATGTTCCAGTAGGTTAAAATTCAAGTTAAAGACAAAGGCATAACAGAAAACAGTTAAAATTGGTGACGTCAGAGTGCATAAAAGCTTACTTTTAGTGATAAGAATCGTAAATGTTGAGCATAGTTGAAGGATGAGTTGGTTTTGAACAATAAAACATGCAAATAATTAGCATTTCATCACCAGTTTATGAATAATAGCTAATGGTAGTGTATGTAAACAGAGTTTTGTATGAATGCATAGTTGGTTGTGCATACTCATAAATCAAAAAATTCAATAACTTGATAAAATATTGAAAATTATTAGAGTAAGATTAGTAGACTACCTGTTAGAAATAGTCATGTGAGTTATTTAGTGATAAGAGATAAGTAGAAGTGGAAATTACAACTTAGATAAACAATATTTTTAATAATACAAGTACATAATTAAGGAGCTGGAACAAAAAAGTATTGTTACGTGATAAGATAAAGATATTAATCAAAAATACTTGAAATTGATTTTTTAAATGATTATTATCACTATTTATGATATTAATTACACAATTTGTTAATAATAATGTAATCTACAATAACTATTAACATTTTTTCTTATTAATTTCTAGGAATTAAACAAAAATTAAAAAAATGTTATAAATTTTGTTAGAATTTTTGATGCGCATGCGCAGTAGCCGTCAAAACAGATTATAACCTAATATTAATGCTTTTAATATTTTTATTTATATTTATATGCATTTACACATTCACTTTTTCTTTTACTTATATTTCTTGGCATAACCTACACTCGCTTCCAGCATCATCATCGGGGCAGACCCGGCAGACCCGGCCGGTCGGGCCACATTATTTCTCGGGAGTGTTCACGCCGATGGCACGCGCGTGAAATACCGCGGAGTCACGCTCGTCCCGCATTCTTACGCCGCCATGTTAGCAGCGCTCGATGGTCATTTGCGAAATTTACGAGTGTACTGCGAGATTTAATTACTTACTGAGTGTGAATTGTGTCCAGAGAGAATTTTTATTGAAATTAAACTTGATTTTAAACATTTTAAATTTTAATTTTGTTTTGAGTCTGACTTGGTGGCGGGTTTAAACTAGACTAGCGGTAGAATTACTATCACTATCACTATTGTTATTGAACTTAGTTACGAGTAACATATTTCTAAACGAAGGTTTAAACGAGTATTTAAATGTTTTTTGTCGAAATATGTTCCAGTAGGTTAAAAATTCAAGTTAAAGACAGCGATAACAGAAAAACAGTTAAAATTGTGACGTCAGGAGTGCATGTGCTTTGTTTTAGTGATAAGAATCGTAAATGTTGAGCATAGTTGAAGGATGAGTTGGTTTTTGAACAATAAACATAAATAATTAGCATTTTATTTACTAGTTTATGAATAAATAGCTAATGGTAGTGTATAAGTAGAGTTTTGTATGAATGCATAGTTGGTTGCATACCATAAATCAAAAATTCAATAGAATTTGATAAAATATTGAAAATTATTAGAGGATTAATAGATTTATTTGTTAGAAATAGTCATGTGAGTTATTTAGTGATAAGAGATAAGTAGAAGTGGAAATTACAACTTAGATAAACAATATTTTTAATAATACAAGTACATAATTAAGGAGCTGGAACAAAAAAGTATTGTTACGTGATAAGATAAAGATATTAATCAAAAATACTTGAAATTGATTTTTTAAATGATTATTATCACGATTTATGATATAAATTACACAATTTGTTAATAATAATGTAATCTACAATAACTACTAGCATTTTTTCTGATTAATTTCTAGGAATTTAGGTAAAATTTGTTCGAGTGCTTAGATTTTTTTATTGCGCATGCGCAGTAGACGTCAAAACTGATTATAACCTCCCATTATTACCCCGCATATTTTTACTTATATTTATATGTATTTACACATTCACTTCTTTTCTTTTTCTTCTTTTTTTTACTTCTTCTTACATTTCTTGGCACCCACACTCTGCTTTCCAAAGCATCATCATCGGGGGCAGACCCGGCAGACCCGGCCGGTCGGGCCATGACATTTCTCGAGGTTCACGCCGATGCAGACGCGCGTGAAATACCGCGGAGTCACGCTCGCGGCTCGCGCAGACGTCTTCGAAAAATAATAAAACCAAACACTTTATAACTTTGTGTTGTTTTTTTTGTTGTGTGTGTTTTTATTATTAAATCAATGTGTACAAGTGATAGTGTCACGAAAATAATAAAAAAAAGTAAACAGTAAAATAAAGTAAATAAAAATAAAATCGTCGCACATGTTCGCGGCCAATACGGACTGGAACAGTTCATTACTCATTAAAATTTTACTTTTCACATTACGAATGCACGAGTAACGTCAGCGTGTCGCGACGCGCGATTGTGTGGAACATTCAATGCGTTATTGTTTCGAAAGGTGGGTGTTTCTGTGAGTTGTGCACTGATTTCGGTGGTTTTATTCGGCGATATCATATATTGGATATTTGAGTTTTAAAGTAAGTAAAATATCAATATTTTTTGTATAAAGTCGGAATTTGTAAATTTTGGTTGGTTTATATTAATTTATTCGTTATAGCGATATAGATTGTCTGTGTAACGACGAAAAATATTTTAATTTCTAGCAATTATGAGTTAGAATATTTTTTAAAGACATGACATCGATGGTAACATTTGAAATATTGTTGTAATTATGATCCCAACATCCCTACAAATTGCAATGCAAATTTCTATAACTTAAGCACGATTTTTCAGCTAATTTGTTGGGGTGCACGTTGCGTTACTAGAAAATCATTTAAACATAACACAAGTGAATACAACTGAGCGACGCGGAATTCATATTTAGACTTCAGGAAATATTTACCGGCATTTTTACAAGAGTAATTGAGTTTATAACCAGTACAAAAAATTAAACAGATGCCAATCCACGTCAAATCACAATATTTGGTTATTTTCTATTCCTCGATGTAACACCACCTCGCTATATCGTAATATATAATTTTAGTGATTAAGAACTTGCATAACTAGTTCAAAAACACATAAAAATTATTTTTTTATGAAATAATTCGTAAAACGTGTGAATTTCACCCGAAAACTCAAAAATAATCGAAAATTTATTTATGTTTTGTTCTTCGATGATTCGTTGTAACGTAATAATTAATTAATCTTCTACTAATTGTGTCTAATGTGAGGTATGTTTGAATTTAATTTATTGTAGAATATTAGTGTTACGTTAGCGCTTTGTAATACCAGCAAGCTGCTTGTAATAACAGAATGGCATATATTTCGAGGAATTTCATTAAGTACAAGTATAAGTATAATATGAATAATATTAAATGGTTAAATATTAGAGCGCATCGCTAATGAACGTTTTGTGGACGTCGGCATTCTGGCATTAGCAGAATTAATTATTCCTGGGTTTCAAATTTCGTTAGCTATTTATTCATTTGATTCAATTTAGCAGCACAAAGGCATTTATAACATGTGTTGCAATTTTTAAATTGTTCTAAGTAATAAGATTTATTAAATAATTTATTAAGTTAAGTTTCATTGAAGTTTTAGTAAAAAAATGAAAAATAAATAAATTTTGAGGTTTTAGTTTTATTTCTTTGTGATTTTCATGGTCATTAGTGAATATTTTAACTTGTGATAAAACATTATTCATGTTATAATAATGTCAAACAAAGTCATAAACATGAAATATAATGTAAAATATTGATAAGTACAATAGTAAAACATAAAAAAAAACATGTTTTATGATTGGATAGCTGTAAATCCTATGATTTCTTATTATTTATTATTTATATCGCATTGTTTATTGCACATCTTATATTTAATATCAAAATTTATCTCTATAATTAAACACTATTGTTTATTGTCTTTTAATTTTGGAATTATAAACGATTTTTAGTAGGTATTTTATCGTTGTGAAAGGTAACATTCACAATACTTTAAATTTTTCTATATAACACAAGAACTAGAAAACCTAGGAAACTGAGTTTTGGCATATTAAATCGTGATTAAATTCCCTACAAAATGACATATTAACCAAGATTCTAGATTAGAAACAACCCAATTTATAATGAATTTAATTTTGACTACTTTAGAATTTAAACTTTAATTTAGTTTGGCATTTGCAATTTGACACTATTCACTCAAAATTGAACTTTAATGTATAATAAATGAAGTAATTATTAGTTAATTATGTAGTTGTCATCGTTCATTACCTGGTCTTTGCTTTGATTGAATTACTAACTGTGTAGACAGTGAATTCAATTAACTTTAACTACAATGTTAGTGTTAGGAGGCACAGTGTATTAGGTGTGCTCGTTTTTTATTTCTTGTTTGATCGACGTAAACTAATGAAGTAAGTAAAGTAAGTAAAGTAATGCCTCTAATGTGCATTATTGCTTGTTGCTGTTAATGGCCAGCACAGATTGCGCACGTTGCTCACCGGTAATGTGGGTAATTATCGGCCCGCAACATAAATCTCTGTTATTTCCACACATCGACAGACGGATTGATAACAGTGAACTTTTATGAGGGTTGTGGACTAGTTTCACTAAATTTCTAAACATTGTGATGAGATAAAATAGATTAGGTTAATTTTAATAACAATTTATTGAAATACCTATTAAGAAAGTGTTTGGAAGACGAACAACGCCAATAAACAAAAAAAACAAAAAAGTTTTTTGCTTTTCATTCCTAAAATAATGCGAGTATTTGAAAATAATTTTATGCATAGGATGAGGAATTAAATGCTCTTTAATATGATATATTTTCCAATGCTGTACAATTAATATTTTTGGAGATATTGCAGTTTTATTGAAAATAATTTTTTTATTTATCCAAAAACCATTGAATAAAAAAATAGATACTGAAATTTGAAAGTTTACCTTTGCGAATTTAGAAAGTTTATTTAATGCCTAGGCAATTCAAGATGAAAACACGCGAATAACATTGATTAATAGGTAATATTTTGCCAACAATCGGGATATAGATAGTTCTGATAACAATTTAAATTTGAAAAAACCTAGATGCTTGAGAGCTAGACTTTTTTGACGGCTGTGATGTGTGATAACATCGTATGGCTTTAAATTGAATGATTGAGTGATTCTCAATTGTGATTATTGGAAATATTTCAATGATAATAATTTCCCTTTTTTTAATGAGATCAACAGATATTATGCAACTTTAATTATATTTACTAATGTTTAAATGGAATAGTTATGAATATTGTACGCTATAATAAATATTCTTTTATTGTGATTGTTACTGGCAATATCGCATTACAAATTATTTTTTATATGGAGAATAAATGCGTCATTGTTCCTATAAATAACTTGCACCTTTGCAAAAACTCTGCGTGAATTATATTTCATTTTTTTATTTTATTCCGACAGTAAAATATTATTTTCTTAAAATTTTACTTGTAACACAAAAACTACGATACTTACGACAATGAAACTTGGCATATTAAATCTTGATTAAATTCTCTTTAAAATGACACATTAATCAAAAATTTCCACCAATTATTTCTCAAGTTACAATGGATTTAATTTTGACAATGTTTGACTTTGCAATTTGACACTCTCCACTTGAAATTTCATTGTTTAGGCTAAACTATTACTAAATTAAAGTACCATAAATGGCTTCCTTCATTTTACTTAAGTCATAAATCATAAAGTACATATATGTTTATACTTTAATCGTGTTTTTATAATAATAATAATAACAAAATCAACTTGACGTACACTTAACTCTGAAGTGTAGTCTCGACATGACTTTACTTTACTTTACTTAAGTAAAGTCGCCTTAAGTAAACTTAATTTTGGCGGTACGACTTGTGAGTATATTTAAATCGTGTTATTATTGTGACTCACAAGTCGTTGTCGGATGTCACTGATGTTTCTACTACCGGTTACAAATGTCTTCATTAAAGTTATATTCCAGCGTCAGGTCTTGATTAATAACTTCCAAAATCTTTAAAAATACATTAAAAACTTCTTAAACATCTTCCTGTTATCATAATATTAAATTCATGTTTATTTTACTTTTGTTTCACTTTAATGTAAACATCATGATGTTATGAGTTATGAGTTCATTATTTATTATTTTAAAAATATGAAGATAATTTAATTTATTCGCAGAAAGAATGCACGAATTCGCAATCATGACAATCACGACGAGCGGGCGCTTGAACTTATCGGAATGCGCTCGATTGCGCGAGTGTCGAGTGTTTATTCTCGCTTGGAACGTAAATTTCAGTTGCATGTCACGTGCAGTCACATGCTCACTCTTCAATGCACTATAAAACGTTACAAATCTTACGAGTATGTGCTTCTGGATTTATTACCGAAAGATAAAAGAAATACGCTCAAGTATTTGGTTATGTTAGGTTATGTTATGTTATATTATGTTATGGAGTTTGATTTTATTACAAGTGGAATGCATCACGCATGACGTTATCCATTATATATTATATTAAACACTAGCTTTAACCCGCGGCTTCGCTCGCGAATATCTAAAATAATGAAGTTGCTTCCGTATGCGTCTGTAGTCACAGAAGAAGCAAATAATGAAGTAGAATGGCGGGAAGTTTAAAATGGTTGAAAAAGTATAATCTATGGAAGTATAGTGTACAGTCTCCATAGTGTAGCGTCAATTGGATTTGATGTTGACGTAGCTGTCGGTAATAAGCAGTGTGATAATACAGTGTGATGGTACTATAGTACTTAATTTGAGCTTCATTGCTGGGAATTCTAGATGGCGTTAAAGTAGTCAAATAGCCAGATGCAGAGGTATTAATACTAAACAATTTATTTATTTTAATTAAAAAAATATTTTTTTATTAAATAAAAAGTAGCCTATAATCATTCGGAGACCACTAAGAATATGTGTACAAATTTTCATGATGATCGGTTAAGTAGTTTTTGCGTGAAAGTGTAACAAACATCAGGACTTTCGCATTTATAATATTAGTAGGGATTAAACTTTATGAATACAACTTCTTTAAATTTCATTTCAAGAGTCTGTTTTTTTACAAATGTTGCTGAAATAATAATTCATTTAAAAAACAGTAAATCTTGGTTTTGACGTTATTTGATTTAACGATATCCCCTGTATAATGAAGAAATGTATTAAATTTTAGCTTTTTTTTGTAATTTTGAAAACTTTTTTCATTTCTAGCAATAAGAAACTAAAATTTAAAAAAAATGAAAATAGTGTTGTTATTGTTGTTAATTTCTATAACTTAAGAACGATGTTATAGGTTAGAATTCGTTTTTGACACAATTTTGACCTGAAATCTTTTCTTATGTTTCCAATTTATTTTTTTAACATGAATCAATAAAAACTAAAGTGATTCATCAACTAATCTAAATTTACTCAAACAGCATTGTTAAACAAATAATAAAACACGATGTTAAACACATTTTCTTAACCCAAATGAATAATTACAATCAACAATCAGTTATTAAACAATAACTTCTTTCCAAACGTTTGCAAATAATCAATCATTGTCTTAATCTCTTTTAAACTTAAACTTTTCATTGTATTTACACTTTTTGTTGTAAATTAACAAAAAATAACAATGAAAACATAAATTTTATTACTTTACGACCTATAAACTATATTTTTACATTCATTATTTTCATTTTAATTAAATTAATGAACCATTTTGCATGTTAACTGTGCTTAATGAATGCAATTAATGCACTGATGAAAGAAGTTCAAAGTTTACAGCCTTCCCACGCAATAAACTACTTCCTTGAGATTGAGAATTAAACCGAAAAGAAAAGAAAACAAGAGAAAATGTGAATATGAATACGATCGTTATTCTTTTGTTTACAATGTTAGTTCTACACTGATTTCTGATACTTACTTGAAATAAAGTCATAAAACTTGCAAACCGTATTTTTATTCTTCGCATATGAAATATGAGAAAACCGCGAGATCGCCTTTCGTCTGAGCGTAGAAAGCAAAAAGTTGTGCCAATTACCAATTTGCATCACACACCAGACGCATGAGACACACGAGAAACCACAGAGTAGAAGTAAGAAGAAGAAGAACGAAGAAAAAAGCAAAAAAGTTTGAAAAAGCAGAAAACGAGTGTTTAATTTTGAGAAATTACAGAACATGTGTGACATTAATTGATTTCCAGCTACTTACATTAGTCTACCAACTATATCTAAGTGATATCTACGTGTGTGATTGCACCGGCGATGATTAATTGCTGAAAGTGTGTTCAAATACTTAATGTGTCGATAATTTTCGATGCACAGATGGCACGAAAACATTATAATCTACATAATCATAGTCCTACTTTCACCCAAATCAAATTTTATTGTGCGAAGTGATAAAACTTAGTCTGACATATCTGACATGTGGAGGAAAGGTGCGAAGGAAATTATAAGGTGTCAAATGTGTCAAAAATATGTAGGTTATGATCACATTTGGTAGTAAGAGATTAAAAGTGTTATAACTTTTGATTGAAAAGAGATAGGAGGATGATTTTTGGGTTTAATGATAGATATTGATAAGGACTATAGGTTATACAAAAGAAAAATTAGAAATTGTTGTTTATTAATCAGATTTTTATAAATTTGTAAAAAATTTACTTAGTTTTGGTTTTTATTCAATTTTTAGTTTAAGACGTTATAACTTAAGTAAATAAAGTGATAGGATATTGAATCATATATCATTAGAAGGGGAATTTATCAGGAAATAAACATATTAAATATCAATCTTTTCCAATAAGTAGTTTACCTGTGAGGAGTAAAAATATACCGATTGGAAATTGTGTTCCGTATTAAATTAATGTCAATCATAACTTTAAATAAAAATTGTTATAACTTTTGATTTAAAAAAGATAGAAGGTTGATTTTTATTTAGAAAGATAGATAATTACAAGGACTACTAGTTATATGAAAGAAAAATGAAAAAATTGTTGCTAAAAATCCAAAATTTTAATAAATTCATAAAAATTTGATTTATTTATGTCATATATATATTTGATTTTTAACTTTGCGTCGTTATAACTTTAGTAAATAAAGTGACAGGATATTGAATCACATATCATTTTAAGGGGAATTTATAAGGAAATAAACATATTAAATATCAATCATTTCCAAGAAATAGCAAAAATGTTCCGATCGGAAATTATTTTCTTAATAAAATAAAATCAATCATGACTAGAAATAACCAAAATAAAAAAATAATTTTTGTAGTAAAATACAAATATCAATCTAGACTAAAATATGTACCACTAAAAATCCCAATAAAACCATTAATTATCAACAATTCATAAAAATTTCCCAAAAAACCAAAATTTTTGTCTCGGACACATTGTACTCATATTATTATCTGTATCAAACAACGAAATGTATATAATCTGAATGAATGTTAGCTTATCAATGACGAGGCCTTTTATTACCAGCGCGATAAGGCGTGAATAAGCCCATTCCAAACTCCTACCTGGCCGACAAATCGAATTCCGCGACGAAAGACCAGTATCAGTGTCAGTGCATCGTCGGAATCGGCAACAAGTCAAGATAAACAAACAAAAATTACATTTACCAACAACCATACAACACTACAACAAACCGGAAGAAAGGTAAACTCACTTTCTTTCTACCAGTCAACAATAAACCAGTTTTTTCCTTTTAAATCGCTCATAAACCAAATTAAATACAGATAATGTCCGATAATCTTAATCGGATGAGTAATTGCGCAACTAGTTTTCCTCCAATGCTAAAGAAGGAAATGAATTCAATTGAGTTGCAAAAGTAAAAGTTTTATGGCAATGTCGGACATAGTCGTAAAATAAATTCAAACTAAACAAACAGACGATGACATTTTCGAGCGGATTTAACGATCGATTTGTGCGTTTCGTGCGTTTTATCTCCCGACATAATTAACGATTATATAAAACGTCGACGTGTAATAGCGCTAATAGATAATATCACTGCGATCATTAAAAACGTAGATCTACTTCATTAAGGCGGCGATAGATTAAATTAAAATTAAGTGTGCTGAGTAACTGCACAAAGTGGTTCATTTAGCGTTCGAATTTTGTTGCAATTAGACGTTTTATTGATTTAATTGCTGTGATTGCCAGGTTTTCACTGCGAGATGGAGCGATCCTTGCAGGATCGTGATCGTGTTGGCGTGCAGGACGCCATTTTGTTGGAGGATTATACTAATCAGAAGGTTTTTGTCGAGAATTTGGAGAAAAGGTTCAATGGGAATGCTATTTACGTAAGTATAACTTAATTTACGTGTAACTAACCTCAAACTGGTAGATTTTGACATATTATAGGTTAGAATAAATGTTTGACAGCTGTTTTTTGTCAGAATAGGTAAATAAATGGTTTTGAAGTGTTATTTTGGTAGATAAATACGTTTTAAACATGAATTTTGCACTTTGTGTTGATAAAAGTGATGTTTTACACGTTTTAAATGCAATAAATAGTGAATTAGTTAATTTTTGACATATTTTAGGTTATAATTTGTGTTTGACAGCTATTTTTAGTCAATATAAGTAAATAAACAGTTTTTAAGGGCTATTTCGGTACAAAAGAACGTTTTTAAGATAAATTTCAGACTTTATCGGCCTAAAAGTGACTTTTTGATCTTTTTCAATGCAAAAACCAGTAAATTAATACATTTTGACATATTTTAGGTTAGAATTAGTGTTTGACAGATATTTTCTATGACAAACTAAGTAAATAATGAGGTTTTTCTTGATATTTTGGCACTAAAATACGTTTTTAACATAAATTTCTCACGTTTTGTGCAAAAAAATGCAATTTTTCACTTTTTTTTTGCACTTTTCGTGCAATAAACTCGTTTATTTACTATTTTCTTATGTTTTTATTGTAGACATACATTGGTCAAGTATTAGTCTCTGTGAATCCTTACAAGGAGCTTAATATATACACGCCCAGTCACGTGAAAGCTTATCAGAACAAACACGCATTCGAAAATGCACCTCATGTGTAAGTAATCACCTGCAATCATTGCAACAATTCAAAAAAACATTAATATATTTGCTATTCTTATCATTTATAGGTTTGCGTTGAGTGATTTAGCCTACAGAGCTCTATTGCATGAAAATCGCGATCAATGCGTATTGATTTCAGGTAAACATAACCTCTAAACACATCAAAAACAAATTTAACCTCAAATATTAACTATTTTTAGTGATTTAAAGGTGAATCTGGTTCTGGTAAGACCGAAGCATCTAAGAAAATTCTGCAATATGTTGCGGATGTGACAGATCGAAAGGGAAACGTGGAAAATGTCAAAAATAAACTTTTACAGTCAAATCCAGTGTTGGAAGCGTTCGGAAACGCGAGGACTAATCGCAATGACAACTCCAGTCGCTTTGGAAAGTACATGGATATTGAATTTAACTTTGAGGTAATTAAACAGTTATAAATTGAGGTTATAATGAAATTTAATCAATATTCCACATACAGGGTAATCCAGTCGGTGGCAATATACTCAACTACCTATTGGAAAAGTCACGTGTCATTAATCAAGTCCCTGGAGAGCGAAATTTCCATATTTTCTATCAACTTTTAGCAGGTGCTGAGGATTCACGTCTTGAAGACTTAGACCTGAAGAGATCTCCAGAGAATTACTTTTATTTGAGTAATGGCGTAAGTATTATAACTTAAACCTAACCTAAAATAACCTAAAATGTGTTTTTAAATGCAAAATCATATTAAATTTAACAGAGTCAATCAAACACCAATTTGATCAACGATGCAAGTGGTTATCATGACGTTGTCAACGCATTATCAGTGATTGAGTTCACCGAAACAGAAAAAAATGATATGTTCAACATAGTTGCCAGTATCCTCCATCTTGGAAACGTCAAATTCGTCGAAGACGAAGGAATTGCTTCTATAAACAAATTGGAAAGTGTAGAGTCCATTTCAAAGGTATTGTAATACATAACCTAACATATAACCTAACATAACCTAATATATAACCTAACTTAACCTAAAATCAAACCTATCTTAATTCAATTTTACCTAACTTAACCCATTCTAACCTAATATATTTCCTAACCTAAAATATAACCTAACCTAACCTAACTTTTCATAAATTTAACGTTTTTTCTGTTTCCCCTGTAGTTATTAGGCTGCAGTGTAGAATTATTACGTAAATCTCTTACCCACCGCACCCGTGAGGCCCGCAAAGACGTGGTAACCTCCCCATTGAACAAAGAAACCTCAATCTACGCCCGCGATGCCCTCGCCAAAGCAATCTACGACCGCCTCTTCACCTGGCTGGTAAACCGCATCAACACCTCCCTACAAGCCGAACGCACAAACCGCAATCAAGTCATGGGCATCCTAGACATCTACGGCTTTGAAATCTTCGAAACCAACAGCTTCGAACAACTCTGCATCAATTTCTGTAACGAGAAACTCCAACAACTCTTCATAGAGTTAACCTTAAAATCCGAACAGGAAGAATATCTACGTGAAGGCATCGAGTGGCAGAACATCGAGTACTTCGACAACAAAGTCATCTGTGACTTAGTTGAAGAGAAACATAAAGGTATCATCGCCATTATGGACGAGGAATGTCTCCGACCAGGTGATGCAACCGACATGACACTCCTAATGAAAATGAATCAAAATCTACATTCACATAAACACTACATCAGTCATCAGAAAGCTGACGCTAAACTCCAAAAGAAAATGCGTCGAGATGAATTCCAACTGGTGCATTACGCCGGTACAGTTACCTACAACGTGAAGACTTTTATAGAGAAGAACAACGATTTACTCTTCCGGGATTTGAAGGACGCCATGATCAATTGTAAGAATTCCATTGTCAATTCCATCTTCACTGCGAAGGAACAAGAGAGTATGAAGCGTCCGGAGACAGCAATCACGCAATTCAAGAATTCGTTGAATAAATTGATGAAGATTTTGATTGTTAAGGAGCCTAATTACATCAGGTGTATTAAACCCAATGATCATAAGAGTTGTAATAAGTTTGATGAGGATTTGGTCAATCACCAAGTGACTTATCTTGGTTTGATGGAGAATTTGAGGGTTAGGAGAGCTGGGTTTGCTTATAGGAGGACCTATGAGTTGTTTTTGGAGAGGTATAAGTGTCTGGCGAAGGAAACATGGCCGCATTATCATGGATCAGCGAAAGATGGCGTTCAGGTACTAGTGTGTAAACTAGGTTATGAAAAAGATGACTACCGAATGGGTAAAACTAAAGTCTTCATTCGGTATCCTAAAACCTTGTTTGAAACTGAAGATGCGTATCAAGCGAAGAAGCATGATATTGCTTCGTATTTACAAGCACATTGGAAGGGATATCTGCAAAGGAAGAAGTATTTGCATTTCAGGACAACTGCGATTATTGTCCAGAAGTGGATTCGGAGATTTTTAGCTCGTAGAAGGGCTGAGAAGAGGAAACAAGCTGTTGTTACCATCAGAAAGTATTATAACCTTAAATTTTTGGTGGGTTTAACCTAATTTTTGTTTTTAAAGGTTTGTTGAAGGTTTTATTACCCGGAATGGTCCCAAAACGGATCTAAATCGTAAATTTGTTGAGTTGGCGAAGTTTCATTGGTTAAATCGTCTTGCAAAGGCTTTGCCCAAGTCTGTTTTGGTTGATTATTGGCCGCCATGTCCACATTCATGTCAGGAAGCTTCTGCGTTGTTGAAGAAGATGCATCGTGTGCATTTATCACGTGTGTATAGATATAACCTTACTTCTGAGCGTAAACGTCATTTGAAGATGAAGGTTCTTGCTGAGAAAGTTTTTGACGGGCAGAAGAAGAGCTACAAAGCTAGTATTCCGTATTTGTTTAAAACTGAGAGGATTAGTGAGGAGATTCAGCTTGTTTATAAGGCGTATGTGAATACTTTACAAGCGGAGAAGATTAAGGTAAGATTTAATATAAAATTTAATAGGTTTTTGATGATTTTGATGGTTTTTGGTTGTAGTATTCGACTATGATGACTAAATATGATCGACATGGATATAAACCGCGTGATCGTGTGATGATTATCACGAATGCGAATGTCTACATCGTGGAGATAAAGAATTCGTCGACGACGATGAAGCATAAACTGCAATTGCAGGATATTTCGCTTGTGATTACAAGCGAGAATGATAAAATGTTGATGATTAAGCTGCCTGAAGAGTTGATTAAGAAGGAAAAGGGTGATATTATTCTGGAAGTGCCGCATTTGATTGAGTGTGTCACGCAGATCATTGCTGCGAGGAACGATCCTGGAATGCTCACCATTGAAGATAAGAAAAAGTGAGTTTTTAGTTGAATATTTCTGCATCACTCGGTTTATATTCATATATTGTGTTCGTGTATATAGGCAACCAATTATACACCTAACTAAAACTTTATATTTAAATTTATTTATTTTTTAGTATTGAGCACAAAATGGTTGGAAAACAAGGCATTATCGATGTGAAACTTGGACGTCCTGAGAGTATTGTAAAGGATAAATCAGGACATTTATTGATTGTGAGTAATATAATAGCTTTTAAGCTTTTAGTATGAAAATTAATGTTTTTTGTGTTTTCAGACTGCATCTCCATGATTTAACTACCAGAAAGCTTCAAAACTAGTGCCATTAAGTGATTTTTTAAATTAATAACTTTGAAATTATCAGACTTTTATTTACATGTTATTATTTTAACATTTAACTTATACAAATAAACTTATTTACCAAAAATACAAGTTTTTGTTAGTTTATTATGATGAGGTGCTTGCACCAGCCTGTGTTAGTTTCTTATGATGTGCAGCTACAGCTTCCTGAGCTTTTGAGAAGTTTTTCTGGCCACTTGAAGATCTGTCTCTCATTTCTTTCTCTACTGCTTTATTCACAGTCTTTGTGATGGCTTTCTTCAGCTTGTGAGCTTCCTCAAACTTGTGCTTCTTGGGTGTGATGGGTTTATCTAGAATAATTGAATGATTAAAGGTGATTTTAAGCAAAAGAAGTTAAATTATGAAGTAAAACTTACTTGCTCGCTGTGTGACTGCCTTGCCTTTGCCTTTTTTGTTCTTATTACTCTCTGGCACCTTTGTTTTGACTTTCATTTTACCTTGTGCCATTATTAACAATTATTTATTATGTTTTTAATGAAGAAATGATTAATCTTAATATAAATACGCAGTTTAAAAGTCGAATGCAATTTTCTAGGTTATGCTCAACATGTGTGAAGATGTTTAGTTGTATACAGTGTGCGCAAGTGAATTTTTGGATTTAAAAGAAGAAAAACTCGTTAAAATTGTATTTTCAAAGGTAAATATAATAAAATAAACGTTTTTTTATACCAATATTAACGTTATTCGTTATAAAAAGAAACAAATGTAATGGAATTAAACTTTTAAACATTAGTATCATCACTTCTGAACACACTATAAATATTTCATGTATATTGAATTGCCTATATTAATTCTATAGGTATTGTTTCTTGGGGGTAAAAATCAATCTCTGTGACTGTTTGCCACTATTAACATCAATAATTTCAACCTCTGGCAACCCATCTAATCTTTTCTGTAAACGTTCAGTTTGTTTTTCGAGCTCTCGTATTCTCCCGCAATAATACTGAATCTTCCTGCTTTGATCATCAATAACTCTTTGGCTCATCCACCAAAACTTCCTCCTCTGTACTGGATCTTCTAAATCTTCATACATAAAATCACCGACAAAATGCGGCTGTTTTGTGGGTTCAGGTGGGTTTGCATAGCAAATTTCATATTCTACATCTTCTTTTACTCCTTCATCCTCCACATATTCTACTTCTTCTTTTGCTTCTTCTTCCTCCACATATTCTACTTCTTTTACTTCTTCTTCCTCCACATATTCTACATCTTCATGTTCTTCATCTTCAAGATCAAACACTATACATTCTTCAAAAGCTTCGCTTGAACTAGTTTCATCAGTTTCATCGCTTGTTATGTCAAGAGGTCTAATACTCTTTGATTCATGGAAAATGGTTGGAACAGCATCTTTCTTGAGTGAAAATTTGCCACCACCTAAGTGATAACATTTGCGTTTAAAGTGTTGACTGCAAATAACGTCACCTTTTCGTAGATGATAATGGCCGTTAGCTCCCTTCATTGCTTTCAGCCATTGTCTTTTTAATGTAGGATCATTTGGAAATCTATTGAAATTCATTAGTAAATTATGCAAAGGAAAAGTATTTAGACTAACCTGTGCATTTTTACATTAACTCCTTTAATGTATTGGTATTTACACCCAGGTACACAACAAGTGTGTACCATTTTAGTGATTAACTTGTTAGAAAATTTTCAAATCACACAAAAACTAAGAAAGGATTCTCACCCGTTTTTACAATTGGCAGCAACTGCTTACTTGACATATATTTCAAGGTTAAATGTTGATAAAATAAAGAAAAAACGATAAATAATGGTATGATATACAAAATTATCAAGATATAATGGTAATTTAATATTTATCTTATTTTTTATTTGATAAAAACTAAACAATATCATCAATTTATTTGCAGAATAAATCAAATGTGTAATGTTGGTTGCCTATATTAACTATCAATTTTTTTAATAAAAAGAAAAATAGATTAATAAGCACAATTCGTTCAAAACGAACAAAAATAACTTTTATAATCCACATTTCGCCTAATTAACATCAATAACATCAAATGCGAGCTTTTTATGCATTTACAACACGCGGAAATGAGTCATACGTGATGCATAACCATTTTACGAGCACACCACTAGTGACACTATTGGTAGTGCGTTGGTTCAGTAGCAACAACCGCATAAAACGCTCGAAAAAAAACAAACACACAAACAATACCAGCGCCGAAGAGAAAAGAATTTACGACTCGGTGTTACTATAATCGTCCACGGTGCTCCACACACGCACACGCATCACACACGTGTATCATAACAACAACATAATCACACCTACATCATACTCGCGTTCGCATTGTTAGTTTTGTTTGACCGTTGACGCTTCGCAGTTCGATTATGTTTTGTTCCGAACACAATGGTGGCTCAACCATCCGCACATCCGGTTCTAGTCGTGATTCCCGTGATTCTCCCGCACGAGCGAATCTGTAAGTATTACCTACACATGTATTTGGCATGATTAACACATTAATAAAGAAATTATAACGAAAAACACACAACTGCCGGTGTTGCGCGTCCCTAATGACTTGTTTTTAACTACGCCGGATGAAAAATCACCAGAGTATTAGTAATGTGATCGCTGCACCTTGTCTGGAATGATTTCAAGTCGTTAGGAAGTTATTTTTGACAGTATAATAGTTTATTTCGATTGTTATTTCTTGATTTGTGTGTTTTTTGTTTTAAATTCATTTTCATACTCGATGCGTATTGTGGTAGTGTATTCATCGTGGTAGGCAACCCACAATACACTTAACCTTTCTTAAATTTGAACTTTTGTTGGTTTTTTTAACTTTACGAAATGAAAAATCACCGGGATATTAGTAATGTGATTGCTGCACCTTGTCTGCAATGATTTCAAGTCGTTAGGAAGTTATTTTTGACAGTATAATAGTTTATTTCCATTGTTATTTCTTGGTTTGTGTGTTTTTTGTTTTAAATTCATTTTTATACTCGATGTGTTTTGTTGTAGTGTATTCATCGTGGTAGGCAACCAACAATACACTTAACCTTTCTTAAAATTGAACTTTTGTTGGTTTTTTTAACTTTACGAAATGAAAAATCACCGAGATATTAGTAATCTGATCGCTGCACCTTGTCCGGAATGATCTCGGGTCGTTAGAAGTTATTTTCGACAGAATGTTCGGTTCCAAATCGTTTATTTCGATCGCTATTCTCTGATATGCTTGTTTTTTCAGTACGTTGTGTTGTGTGATGTGAGAAGTGAGATAATGGCCGGCATTCAGCATTTATTTTGTTCACTGTTACAATTTCGGGTGGCTATTGAACGCATTTCTGAAAATAGCATTTTTGTCTAGCAGCCAATGCACGCACGCATTAATAGAACGGGAAGTGAGTTTGTTTGCGTTTGCGTTTCTCACTTAGTCACTTAACTCACTCGATTCGTTTGTTTCGGGGCGTAAATTTAGAACTTCCAAATCATTCAAATTCAAAAACGAAATGAATGAATTCCACGATGATTTCGGAGTGTTTTTTCAACGCGTGTAATTAATGTCGGAATGCGTTAGGCGCTTTGAATTTATTAATGTTAATTTTTGTATTTTTTTTTTCGTTTAAAACAGTGCTGCGGAGCGTATAACAAGCAAATTGTTAATTTACTAATTTAATTATACGCCTTATCGCCTCATGGCATCTTGCATAAAGTGTTTAATTGCTTAATTAGTTGTATTTTTAGGAGGTTTTGAAGAATTTGTTCCGGAGCAATAAAAAACTATTTTTAGGTTAGGTTTCCGTATATTTTACAAATCTGTAAAACTCATAATATGGGCAATTAAATTCTCTTTAAGATGGTATATTTGTCAATATTGTAGATTTAATATTTTCGGAGATATTTAAGTTTTTCTGAAAACAGATTTATGCGTTTTATTCGGAAACTATTAAACAAAATCAAACAAAAATTGCAAAAACATTTAGATTACACTATTACCTACATATTTCACGTTTGAAAACTAAATTTTCTCTGTTTATTCGGTTGAAAATCGAAAAAATTAATTTTTTTGCATTGCTACTTACTCTGTGAGTGTAGGCAACTCATATAACTTCTAAAAACTTATTTTTGCATTTAATTCCAAACTTAAAGTACTAAACTGGTCAAAAGTAATAAAAATCACAAGATTTTACTGTTATATACTTAATTCAATATTAAAACTATAAATTTTTGTTGGTTTTAGCGCTAAAAACAGAAAAAAAACTTTTTACGCCATTTTTACCTAATTTATTAATATAGGCAACCAATTTAACTTGTACTCAAAGTACAAACCAAGTCAATTGTATGAAATTCGTGATTGTAACTGATTGTAACATTCCTGAAGGCTTCTGAGTGTTCGGATGCATGTTGTGTCTTCGTAGAGGTTGTTTTCTTCACTTCACTTCACTCTTCTTGTCTCGGCTTTGGTCCGAAGAATTTTTATGTGGGCAATAACGAAATCTGATATAAAAAGTGGTCGCACGTTTATTATCCTCCGCCACCACTTATCGCATCATAGAAGAATCTCGCGTGCGCGTACAACGGGCGCTTTACTACGAAGTGACGGACCGCGACGAATGCGGCCGGCGCTGGAATGCGCACTATCGTTAACCCTTTTTTGTCTTGTTGCGCCCATGATGCGATCATGATGTGTGTTTCGGCAAAAAACGCACGTACAACGTACAATGCACCAGATCGGTGGGAAAAACAAAGTTATTTACGAAAAATTTGAAATATTTTCAAAAAAATTTCAGATTTTCGAATTTTTTTCGAAAATTTATGAAATTTTGCGAAAATTTTGAGAATTTTTTGAAAAATATTAAAAATTGTTAAAATATTTTCAGATTTTATTCAAAATCTTAATTTTTTCTTTGAAATTTTTCAAAATTTTAAATTTGTTTAAAAAATTTCAATAAATTTTTCAAAATTTTCGAATTTTTGTGAAAATTATCGAAAAATTTGAGAATTTTTTTCAAAATTTTTCAAAAATTGTTAAAATATTTTCAGATTTTGTTCAAAATCTTTTTTTTCTTCATATTTTTAAAATTTTTTCCAAATTTTCTCAAAATTTTTAATTTTTTTTCAAAATTTTGCTTATTTTGTAATATAACACCTCGATTGCAACTTCTCGTGAAGCTTAACATGAATTATCCTCAAGTGGCACTTGAAATTTGCATAAATACATAGATCCCAAGTTGCAATCACTAGAAACATGTGAAAATCGCCTCCAACACAATAAGATCCTCAAGTGGCACTCATCTCTTCACGCTTGGGCAAAGCAAATGCCGTTTCGGCATTAGCCCGAGGGTGTGTGACCGCCGAGGGTTTCATCTTCAACGACGACAACCTGCTAACCAGCGGGGCGCCGGGTTTTAATACTTTTTTGATGAACTGCATTCTTTGCGCACGCCGGGGTGGATTTCTACTGCATTCTACCCTCTACCCGAATCACTTTACAGCCGCCATGCGGACAATAGCGGCCATATTTGTGCATTTGTGCATCCCGACAACGTTTTTGCCTCGTTTTTATGGCCTTTCGTAGTAGTTATAAGTCAAGTGGGCCGTACGCATTCAATTTTCACATTTTCTCAGATCCCGACATGAATACGCTGGCTTTTGTGGGAGGAACGCGTATTGTTTGACACGCATGCGTGTTGCATATTCAGGTTTAGTTGCGCGTGCATAATTTTCACTCGCAAATCGAATTATTCCCAGGCGCTGGGCGTTGGTTTCGTTTCTCGTTTTTTTTTTCTGCGTGTGCTGGTAATATTCTTGGTGTAATTTGCAATTTTGTAAATTATATACGTTGCATTGGATTTCTAATAGGCAAGAAATTGGTAACAAAAGCGGTTGTTATTTTCACGAAGTGTAAAACCTGAAATTAAAGGAAAACACAATAAAGAGTGAGTTATGTGAGGAATTTCAAGATGTTCTAATCATTATACACTCCCTCAGACCAAAAAAGGGTCTGAATAATGATAGGGTTTAGTTGTACATAATATTTTTCTCATTTTCGACAATTTTGGATCATTTAATTTGTTTTTGTGTATGGAAAGTTGCATAACTCGCAGAGAAATTCATAAAAATTAAGTTTTTTCGATAAATTTAGCAAAAAAATTTGTTTAACAACGAAATTTGTACAATTTGGTTGGTTTATATTAATTTCCTCGTTATAACGTTACAGCTTCTCTGTGTAACGACGAAAAATATTTTAATTTCTAGCAATTATGAGTTAGAATATTTTTTTCAAAGACATGACATCGATGGTAACATTTGAAATATTGTTGTAATTATGATCCCAACATCCCTACAAATTGCAATGCAAATTTCTATAACTTAAGCACGATTTTTCAGCTAATTTGTTGGGGTGCACGTTGCGTTACTAGAAAATCATTTAAACATAACACAAGTGAATACAACTGAGCGACGCGGAATTCATATTTAGACTTCAGGAAATATTTACCGGCATTTTTACTTGAGTAATTGAGTTTATAATCAGCTTATCAAAGATTAAACAGATGTCAATCCGCGTAAAATCTTAAGGTTATTGTCTATTCCTCGATGTAAGATAACCTCAATATAACATAATTTATCATTTTAATGCATAAAAAGTTGCATAACTTGGACAAAAATTGCCCAAAAACCTAATTTTTTGATGAAATTCTTCATAAAACGGATCAATTTCAAGTAAAAACTTTAAAAAAATCCAAAATTTGTTTTTTTTTTTGTTTGTTGGTGTGACATAACCTCGCTTAAGCGTCATTTATCATTTTAATGCATAAAAAGTTGCATAACTTGTTCAAAAATACATAAAAACTAAGTTTTTTGATGAAATGCTTCATAAAACGTGTGAATTTTTACCAAAAACTAAAAAAATTCAAAATTTGGTTATGTTTTGCTCCTCGATGTAACATAACCTTGCTTGAACGTAATTAAACATTTTTAAGGCATAAAAGTTGCATAATTTGAGTAAAAATACCTAAAAACAAAATTTTTTGATGAAATTATTTCTAAAATGTGTGAATTTGACCAAAAAAACCTAAATGGCACGCTCACTAATCTGTTTACGTTTCGCTTTCGTTCCCTTTTTGACCTGCGCTGCGCCTGTGAGAAAAAGGACGCGCGTCTTGAACGCGTCTTTAAACTGTCTACCTCCTCTGCTCACTACCTGTGCGTCCAGCCACTTCAGCCCGCACCATTCTATTCTTATCCACATTCACAGCGAAGGTGAATCACGTCCGTGATGATAGTATTCGCCGCACACCTCCGACGGCTTTTCGAGTGGCTCCCTGCCGCGCCATTGTAGGTTAGGTGCCTGTGTGTGTTGGGTGCAAAAAGTTGGTGTTAGGTTAGGTGGGTTGGCTATTTACTAGTGTCCCTTTTCACAGTCGGACGCGTTCATTGTTTATTTCGGCTCGGAGCGTCGCATCATTGTTCCGAGAAGGCGCCGGCGGGCGACCGGAGAGGTAGAGTATGGAGTAAAGTAAGCACAAGGTGGTGCATCGCATTAAATGTCGATGTTGTGTACGAGAGACTCGCAGCGAGAGAGATTGAAAGATTGGACGTGCGTTCGAGGAATCACAAGGTATTCAGATTACCATGTCATGTGTGCATCGCATTGTTCGCATGGTGACATCTGACATTTGACATCTCTGGGTGAATGTTGATGTATGCAACCAATGTTACACGTGAATAACAATTTGGGTTGCATACATGTAATTATTGAAGAATTTTCAATTTGTAATGCATTTTAAATGACCAATTCGACGCGAAACAAATCGAGATGGGTTTTTCTTTGTGTGTGTGTGTGAGGGGCCTGCGGGCGCGCGCCTAGTTTACGAAAAGAAAACGTGAGGAAATTTAATCTCCGCGCTCGCATTATTATGAGCTGCTGCTGTATCTTCCATTCTTCCAAATAAGCAATAATAACATCGTACGCTCGCGCGCCGCACGTGTATTCACGTAATACCGCTTGTTATTATGTGGATGAAATGCGCAACAATCATGGAGGTAATAATAGGAAGAAAATGTGTTAGTAAAAAGTCAATTTCATGTTTTTCGAGTAAGCAGCTGACTAGAAATGCGATTTATAAGCGTTATTCAAACACCAAAACAAAAAGTAAACAAGTTATTTTAATAATTCTTTCGGGAATGTGTTTTATATTAAATTTGGGAGTGAATTATATTTTTTGATGTGAAAATCAATAAATATTTAGGGCATAAAATTGAAATTTGTTTTAAAAATACGCAACATGTTTTACATTTTGTTGTTTTCAGCAATACTTCAAATCTCATATTTTCATACAGTATATGTTTATAAGTGTAAAATTTATTGTAGAATCAGTTGGAGAAAGAATTATTTTAATAACTTTATTAGTTTAATAGTTATTAATAAATAACTAATGGAAAAGTTGTCACTGGCTCCAAAATTAGACATACATAACGGCAGTAAATTCAATTCAATTAATAACTCAATTACTAAAAAAGATACAATAGTCATTCTTGAAGCATTCGATTCAGTATTAAATTCTTTATCTACTTATATTTTTCTATTAATAAATTAATAAATATTTATAACACAAATCGCAAAATTAGTTCAATTGTTAAGAAATGCGACTTTTTCAATTTATTAACGATTTACGTCTAAACTAATATTATTTTCGGCAAAAATGTAAGTGAAATAGATGCAGAATTTAATAATAAATAAGTTTCTGAAAAAATTTTGCAATTATCTTTGTTAGTTTATGAGTTATTAACAAATAACCAAACGTAAACTTTTTACGTTTTAAATTAGACAGGAAAAATGTTTAATTCAGTAATTAATTAATAACATTATTACTAAAATAGATACAATAATCATTCATGAAGCATTCGATTCAGCATTAAATTCTTTATCTAATCATTATTTTCTATAAATAAATTTCTAAATATTTATGCCGCAAATCGCAAAATTAATCGAATTGTTTAAAAATTATGTTTTTTTCACTTTATTAGCGAATAACAGCTAAACTAAATTTATTTCTCACACAATTACAACTTAAATACACGCAGAATTTAATAATAAATAAATATCTAAAAGAATTATTCAATTATCTCTGTTAGTTTCCGAGTTATTCATAAAAAACGCTCATATTACAATGCGTATGCATATACTTCATGAATATCATGCGTTGTTCGTTTGATGACAAAGTGTCGATAACAATAATTTGCATAAAATGTGCAAGTTTAAACTTGTGCGCGATATAACCGCGATTCTAATATCGCAATTATCACCAACCGGGGCTGTGCATGCGTTGTGTAGGTCTGCGGTTAGTCATCCGATGAAGAATGTGACTAAAATAATGACTCATTTTCGCGCACGCTCGCCATGCATATATTCCACCGTTCAGTTCGAATTACTCACAACGCACTACGTATTAATTTTTAATTTCACTTGATTTTATTACGCAATAATGTGCTTTTCTATTTCGGAGCACGCCGGGGCTAGGTAGACGGTGTGGATTTGTTCGTGTTGCGTTCATTAAATTCGTAGACGATAAAAAACGAGCAAAGCATAGCATCGTACGGCATAAAACGCACCAACAAAATGGAACAAATCAAGAGATGCGAAGAGGAGAAGAAGTGAAACGTAAAAAATAAAAGAATAAAAAACATTGCTGGAATGGAATCGTCTGCGGCGTCTGCGCCGTGCTTAAGTTAACTTTACTTTAAGTTTAACTTGAAGTTACAGACATAAAACGAATAAGAATTTTGGAGAAATACATGGGAATGGTTGAGGTTTGAGGTTATGTTACGTGGAACATGTAATAGTTGTGTTAGATTGGCACGCAACCAAATATACATGTTAGTGAAAAGTTAATTTCATATTATTTTCATTTAAAATTTTATTTGCGGTGGTTTTTAATTAATTAAACAAAAAGTAAACAAGTTATTTTAATAATTCTTTCGGAAATATGTTTTATATTAAATTCTGGAGTATGTTATATTTTTTGATATGAAAATTAATAAATATTTAGGGCCTAAAATAATAATTTTGTGTAAAAAACACAAATAATTGATGTTTTTACATTTTTGTTGTTTTTAAGTATTTATAAATTAATATTTTATTTAAAATTTATGTTCATAAGTGTAAAATTTAATGTAGAATCAGTTGGTGAAAGAATTATTTTAATAACATTATTAGTTTACCAGTTATTAATAAAAAACTAAAGGAAAACTTGTCACGGTCGAAATTAGACAGCATAAATTTATAGTTCAGTAATTAATTAATAACTCAAGAACTAAAAAAGATACAATAATCATTCATGAATCATTCGATTCAGAATTAAATTCTTTATATGATTATATTTTTCTATTAATAAATTAATTAATATTTATGGCGTAAAACGCAAAATTAGTTCATTTTGTTAAAATTTAGATTTTTTTCACTTTGTTAACGATTTACGCCTAAAATAACAATATTTCTTGAACAAATATGAGTCAAATAGATGCCTAATTTAATAATAAATTGATTCCTGAAAGAATTATTCAATTATCTCTGCTAGTTTTCGAGTTATTAACAAAAAACCAAACGAAAACTCGTCTCAATCTAAATTAGACTGCACAAAGTTTTATTTCATTAATTAATTAATAACTCGATAACTAAAACACATACAATAGTCATTCTTAAACTATCCGATCCAGAATTAAATTCTCTATCAACATTACCTTAACATTAACTTTAACTTGAAGTTCCAGCCCCAAAACAAACAAAAAATGTTTTAGGTTAAATTACGTATGACACATAATACTCGTATGCAATTGGCACGCAACCAAACACACATGTACCACGGGTTGCAGTATTCCACACACATATAATATCCGCGTATGCGTAGGCAGTTGTACAGCTTTTTGTGCAGCTTTCAACCGTGTGTAGTATAACTCATCCCTACTCCCCCTCCGCGCGCCCTCCCTGCGTCCGCCTCCGCCACAGCGGCATTCCTACGCGCGTAGTAAGCGTACAACCGTATCTGCGTACTATGGCACAACCGAACCGGCTACAAGTCTACAACCATCCACAACTACAACTCGCGTCGCGCCGGTAGTGGTCGGGTCGTAGTATACGTGCAATCAGCGTTTGTAAAAGCGGCGGAGAAGAGCACGCGGACAACGCACAGCGCGCGCGTCTCTCTTCCAAGCGGAGCGCAACAGTTTGCCACACAGTCGCCGACGAAAGCTCGCAAGCGAAAGTCACACGCGCGCGCACGAACAAAACTCAAATTTACTTTAAAAAAAAAGTGTAAACATAAACATAAAACAAAAATGTGTTTAGTGTAAAACATAAAACATGAGTATCCAATGTGTAGTGTATTGTTTTGTGTAATTTTGGATAAAAATTCAGCTGCGCTGCAATTATTTACCAACAATCAACAATTTAATTCCCGGCGCAAGTGTAAGTCAAGTTTATATTTAGTATTTACACTGTGTCAACAAGTTGTGCGTGAAAACAGTCTGTTTCATTCGCGAAAACAAAAGCATGACGACTGGATACACAGATTGTTTGTTAACAGAGTAGCATTGAGACAATATGGCGCTAGACGTATGTTAAACGCGCTGTTATCGCGCGTATAAACACTCACACGCATGCAATTATCCTATTTTCGATATATAAATAAATGTCGGTACTATTTATACGCGGATGCACTCATAGTTCGTTGGTCTTCTGCGGTATTGTATATATGCAACTTGTGTTACACATGCGTGTGAATTTGGTTGCCTATTTTTCGGGTGTGAGTTTTATGTTCGCATTGTTTCGTTTTGCGTGTATGGTGGGTTGCGGGATTTCGATGCGTGCGTTGTTGAACGAATGAAGCTGAAGTGAAGCATACGGACGGGTCGCGGCGCGGGCGCCAATGACCTCTCCGATTTATGCGTGCCCGACACTCTATTACGGCGACTCGTGCCACGGCTACCGAGCTACTGGTTACTGTCGATGTTGAATTTCGCACAGAAATAAAACATATACACTGGTCAAAGGCAGAGATAGAGTCAGTGGCGTAGCTAAAACACACTTATTATCCTCTTCTATTAGAATATGTATATTGGGTTGCCTATATTATATTATATCTGCTAATGAATTGTATAGTAAATAATCTTCTGAGTCATAAACACACGGTGGATGTGAGTATGTTTAGCGGTAGTAATGAAATAATGTAATAATGTTAAAAGTATGAGTATGACTGACTCGTTGCGCAATTAGCATTAATTTCGACTTCATTTCGCACGTGTGTGATAATTCGCAATGTTTACGCACACAACCACAGACACATTTTCTTTCGCTTTACATAATATACGTGGATAAATATTAATTTAAATGGAATTCAATTGAATTGATAGTCTATGTGGGTGTTGCATGAATATAAACGAGTTGTTTGTAGTTAAATCAACGTTTTGTTAGAGTAAACACGCGTAGACAATGAAAATAAGTTAAATATCATGCATTGTGAGTGTTGAATTTAAATAATTTAAATGGGATTTTATTTTAACCCTTCGGAAATGCTTAAAATAGGGTTTAATTGAGGTTAGGTGACACGTGCGCATGTAAATTCAATGCGGGTGGTAATATTTTTCATTAACGCCATCTATGAATTAAAATTAGTGGATTTTAAATTTTAAAAAGCAATTAATTGTTTGAATAGTGATTTTAAGCTATTAAAAATACGTAAAATAGGTTTTAATTGAGGTTAGGCAAACTAGCGCCATCTATGAACTGAAATTTAAAAGTTTTAAGTTTTAAAATGCATTTAAATGCTCGCAAATTGATTTTAATTTTCCAGAAACACTTAAAATAGACTTTAATTGAGGTTAGATTACACTAGTGCCATCTACGAACCAAAACTTCAACTTTTTTTTTCAATTTCAATGTGTAATTAGCGTTTGTAACAATTTGCTCAATATGCTCGCACTAATTATGCAATAAGTCGTAAATTCTGTTTCTGTTAAGTTTCCCCGTTTGTGTATTGAAGGCATGCATTCGACGCGTGGTTTTTCAGCTGCAAGTGAGGTTAGTCCGCCAATAAAATATCACTCATTGCATCAGCCTCTCCTCCGCTGTGTGGCTTGCGAGAGATGCGACGCGGTGAAACCGAATCGCACATGTGTGCGCCGCGTGCGCCATATGCAGCGCAATGAAATGCAACAGACGTTGAGCAATAAATATTGCTTGTTGTGGCAAGCGCCCGACGACTACATATAGCACGAATGCACACGCGCAGTGCAGGCAGCTAGATCAAATCAAGATGAATGGGTTTGCTAATAGTAATTTACACGTTGTACAGCGACAACATCGAGTTGATGAGCATATTAATGATTACACTCGAATTATACTCAGACAAAAACAGTATTTAATGAGTGGTAATAATATTTTTTGCTGTTTTTATGAAGTACTAGCTTTAACCCGCGGCTTCGCTCGCGAATATTTAAAATAATGAAGTTGCTTCCGTACGCGTGTGTAGACACAGAAGAAGTAACAATGAAGTAGAATAACGGGAAGTTTAAAAATGGCTGAAAGTACATAGATCTATGGAGTATAGTGTACGCAGTCTCCATAGGTATGGTAATTTGGATTTGATATTCGACGTAGCTGTCGGTAATACAGTGTGATAATACAGTGTGATGGTACTATAATTACTTAGGTTTGAGCTTCATTGCTGGAATGCTTTAGATGGTGTTAAAAGTAGTCAAATAGCCAGATGCAGAGGTATTGGCTTGGCTGGCTGTTCTTTATTTTATTTATAAAATATTTTTTTATTAAATAAAAAGTAGCCTATAACCATTCGGAGACCAGTAAGAATATGTGTACAAATTTTCATGATGATCGATTAAGTAGTTTTTGCGTGAAAGTGTAACAAACATCAGGACTTTCGCATTTATAATATTAGTAGGGATAACAGCGCCACTCAAAAAACAACTGTTTTTTGATTTGAATTCCTAAAATAATGCGAGTTTTTGAAAATTATTTGATGCATATGATGAGGAATTAATTGCTCTTTGATATAGTACCTATATTAACAATTATTATTTTTATAGTTATTTCAGTTTTATTGAAAACAGATTTTTGCATTTTCTTCAAAAACTATTGAATAAAACCGCAACAAAAGTTGATATTGCATTAAAATTTTACCAAATTTTAAATTTAATTATGCTTGGAATTGGTTAATCTGCCGAAACTACGCAAAATTTGAATATGAAATTTAATATAGTGATATATTATTGGAAGGAAAAATAACTTGTAGTTTATCAGTTTTTCGCAATTTTCTAAAAAACTGCAACAGATTCTCCTTTGGAATTAGCTTTATTTCGGAGATTGTTGTTAGGCACAGAAATGCTCTAAGTGTGGTGTTGATTGGGTTGCCTGTTTCTGCAAAAAATGCTAAGCAAAATCAACGATTTGTCGCGATTCTTGCCCCTATTGAATTTTGAAAAATACAGTTTAGACGTTTTCTAATAGATGGCTCCATCATACACCATGTGTGACAGAGAGTTGGCTGTTTAATATACATAATATTGAGCGTACTGATTTGATAATGCTCGTCTGTCACATCAGGATTAAATTATCACATCATTTATATTTGTCAAATACACAAGTGACAGCTTTAGACATTTCAACGAGCAAGCATTATTTTTTAAATTTCAAGCATTTCGTACAAAGTCATGACATTTAAATCATTAAAACCAGAAAACTAAAAATTTTGAAAATAATTAACGAAATTTTGTACTTTTTGCTCTTTAAAAATCGATATAAAATTAAATTCAATCAAATTTTTACAAAATTTATTACAGAATCAAATGCCAAAGTAATATTTAAAGAAATAACATCTACATTTAATATTTGAAATATTTATTTATTATAATTTTACGTGATTTTTGGATTTTACAATTTGTATTTGAGTTGACATGTTTCGCCCAGAGGGCATCTTTATAAAGTTTATTAAAATTATAATAAATAAATATTTCAAATATAAAAATGGATTACGTATTCGCCAAAGAAAGTAATAAATCTACATTTAATTTTATCTTCGTGTAACTCAATAATTACTCACAGAAAATAAAATTACTTGTTTATTCAACTGCCTCAGTGTATCTACACGTATATAAAAACAAAGAGGTTTGCAAGATTGAGCAATAGTTGTTTAGACATCGTGGCGCTTCGACGTTTCTTCACTTCTGCGCTGTTTTCTCTAAAACTTAAAAAACTTTTCCCAACTTCTCGCCGCGTCAGTTATAAAAAATTCAAGCAACGTTTCAAGTTTCCTTCTATCACTACCTACGTACTTCTACTTCAACGTCTACACTCGAAAAAGGTGTCAAAACTGAAGAAATCAAGAATCTCAAAACAACTTAACTCGACTCCTTTGCGTTAAGCCATGCGCAACCGAACTACACATTAACTTCTAACTACCAACTACCAACTACTTCAAATGTGAAGTGGACTTGAAGCTAACTTAACACGTGTGCGGATAAGATTCGAATGATTGCATATGGGATTTGGAAACCAGGTTACGCCCACAGGAATTTCACAAAATAAGCCACGCGCCTTTTAATACCATATGCGTCTGGCAGCGATGGAGAAAAGTTAAGATAAAAATTAATGTTGATGTAATGTGTTCATTTCGAGTGGGTGTGCATCGGAAAGTAATGATTTCATCATCCAAGCTTGAATTATTCAGTTATTCACTGTAATTATAACTGGAAGCGCGCATTATGCAACCAACAACACATGTTTTATGTATAACTGGTTGCCTACCACTTAATAATTAATATTTTCGCTTAATTCTCCTTTAAAATCATAGCACAAGATGAAATTTTGTGTGCAAAATGTTTTGGTGAAACATTATGCATCCACCAACACATGTTTTGCGTATAACTGGTTGCCTACCATTTAAAAATTACAATTTTTGCTTAATTCTCTATTAAAATGATTTCACAAGGCACCAAATGTGATAATAAAACATTATACAACCAACAACACATGTTTCGTGTATAACTGGTTGCCTACCACATAAAAATTTAATATTTCACGAATTTTGTGATTAAATTCATACCACAAGGTAAAATTTAGTGTGCAAGGTGTGTTGGTATTTAATTTAATATAATTTATTAATTTTCTGGCTGTTTGCTGCGATAAACAGCGCGAAATATGTTGGGAAAGGTCATTTTGCATATAAATTATTCGCAAATCAAAAAAGCGTGAATAAATATCCAAATATTAATTAAATATTAAAATATTAAAAATGCACGCTAAGTATAAACATTGTATCATTATGTAACATTAGCACATTAAGAAAAAATGTTTATTATTCCTTGCTAATCGCACGAAATGTCAATGAGTATGTAAATTTGCAAAGTGCGCTCGCACAATACGCAAAATGTTGCAAAAGACGATGGCTAGAG